GATCAAGACCGTTGCATGAAGAGGTCTTGGGCACTTTGGACGTCCACCTGGGGTTTGATCTTGTTTGACCTTTTTAACCAAAAGGCCACAACCTAGAAACTTCAAATTTTGACACAAAAGGCTTCATATACGGGCCAGTCTGCCAAATGACTTTGGTTTGTCTAGCTTGCTTAGTTTGTCAGATCTTAGAGGGGTCAAATTGACCCCCACCCGCGCGAAGCGCATTTGACCGATTACCCGGCCGCGTGTTAATGCCTCTGCAACTGACCCTCGATGGATTAAGCCTTATTAAAAAATTAACAAGTTCAGAATTTGTTTCTGCATTCAGAATTATGAAGGCCAGTACAGAGGGGGCGCGGAGAGGGGCCGTATTTTATAGACACACTGACACACAGCACCATGCATTTGTAGTAATTTATCAGGCGGTGTAAAATGTGACGCATCACAGATCACATCACAGCGGCCAAACCTTGTCAAGCCCCACCCGTTTTTTTCGAAAACTTAGCATGGCAAAACAACGAAACAAAGAAACAGGAATGCGCTTCTTAAACTGCATCAGAGGTCGGCTGTCGGCTGCTTCTCACTCCAAGAGAAGCCAAAGAATGCAAATACCGAACCAGGTATTGATGAATGGCACAACATTCTCAACGACAGACCTTTGTCTGGTGATTTTGTCTTGAATGCAAATGAAGTTGTTAACTGCGTTGTCTAGGATTGCATGATCATAAAGCTTGGTGGGATACAGCAGTTAAGTTCAAATAATCTTTTAGAATGCACATTCTATAACACTTGTACGTTGCCGTGCACCTGACCACGAAATGCGACTGACATGACTTCGACGGAGGAACAGGTAACGCCTTGCAGCTTACGGATATAGAACAGTTGCATGTTAGTTCTGTTCTACTCGTTACTGTTCATGTCCACTCATTATCTTGCTACACAAGGTATGGAAATGTTCCAACCTAATTTGCGTGTAAATCTTGATATTATATATTCAGTGATTCAAATGCTATCGCAGCAAACCCTCACAGATGTATTTGAGTCCCTCATTGGTTAAAGGGCCGACTCGGTCCAACACAACAGAGGTAATAAGCTGCGAGCATGCATAATCGTCACGCGACCGACGGTTGACTGCGAACATCAGGCAAAAGACAGAAATCAAACCTGTGTCAACCAATCCTCCAGGCAGACATTGTTGTTAATAAATGTTGAAGCTATCGCCGCGTTGAACCGGTTATTGTCATTGTTGCATTACCGGACTGAAGTTACTGGAATATTGTCGTATCACTGAATTAAAATAATTAAAGGCGTACCCTAAACAATACATCAGTAATAGTACGCGTCTCAAATATTTCAATGCATTGGAAAAAAATGTCATAAAAAGATGCGCCTCCTTTTTGGGACCATTTTCTTGCCGGTTGAACTCTCACCTCTCAGCAGATAATTCAGGGACTTTTGGAGCTTTCGGGGAAAATTTACGGAACAAGAAAGTACGGTTGCAATTCCTAGGAAATTGAGTCCTGTGAAACTGTCACGATCGGCGCTTCCAGCTTTGAGCAGACCAAGATTTGAGTAACGCGAAGGGGAGGGTCATGACTGGCATTACGAGCAACAGTCACAACTACGGAGCAGGGTTGCGACGCTCCGAACGTACAACAGTCACAACTACGGAGCAGGGTTGCAAAGTTCTGAATGTTCAACAGTCACAACTACGGAGCAGGGTTGCAACGCTCTGAATGTTCAACAGTCACAACTACGGAGCAGGGTTGCAACGCTCTGAATGTTCAACGGTCACAACTACGGAGCAGGGTTGCAACGCTCTGAATGTTCAACAGTCACAACTACGGAGCAGGGTTGCAACGCTCTGAATGTTCAACAGTCACAACTACGGAGCAGGGTTGCAACGCACCGAACGTACAACAGTCACAACTAAGGAACAGTGTTGCTACGCTCCGAACGTACAACAGTCACAGCTACGGGGCAGGGTTGTGACGCTCTGAACGGTCCACCGCGCCACGTGCGTCTAGAAACTCGACAGTGTTGTCGCCGAGGCGACCTGGAGCCAAAACTTTCCGTTTCTCGTCCACTTCTCGCGGCAAGACATTATACGGTACGTAACCATGCATTTCATGCGTCAAAAACTTAAACAATGTTTTTGTGTGTATCAACACTTATTCTTTCAAAATATGGAATTTGGTAAGTAATTTCAGATACACATACTGGCATGATATGATGTTGAAATGTCTTACTTTGTTTATCCTTGTCAACTGTAATAGATTAACGTGATAGTTTTTAAGTCATAAACGTCGAGGGGACAATATCCATCAGAAAGCATGGGATGGCCTTTGCACCGTGCATAATACTCTCTCGTTGAAAATCAATGCTTTAGAAATGCTCTACAGCATACCTCCTACGATCACACTTATGCTATCTGGGCACATATCTGCGACACATGTCTGCAGCTCAGACTGGGCTGGAGACGATGTCGGAGTTACTACCGCGCACTCATCGGCAGCACAGCACATTATGCAGCTCAGACTGGGCTGGAGATGATGTCGGGCTTACTACCGTGCACTTATCGGCAGGACGATTGGACACATCCGCCAGGGGTTACAATTCGCATGATACGATTGAGACATCGGCTTTGCGAATGCGTTCGAAGTGCGCCCTCGTCTCAGGCCGACCACATCAGTGCATAGAGCGGGCCTGGGGTGAGAGAGGTGGGGGGCACGACGAACAGGAAGACAGGCATGGGAATCGTCTTGAGCCGATCGCTCGGCGCAAGCCGTGGACAATGAGCCGCAGCAGAGATGACATGCGCCAGGCAGTGTAGCATGGCTGTCTTCGCATAGCGTTGCGCTTTTGCGGGGAGAAAATCCGCGTGGATCTCTACAGACCCCCGGTCTCCCCTTTCCGGACGGCCAGCCGAGAATAGCCCAGGTATACTCTATACAGCGAACAGAGGTGTTGATTGTAATCATTTCACGTGCGAGCCGGGCCGAGGCCCGATTTATCTCGATAAATCGTCTGCCGCCACCGGCGGGGACAGCCCCGGTCGTGGCAGCGGCGCACAAAGCGCGGCCAGAAACCAGAGCCGCCGCGATGGATCACGCCGGGGGCAACCCTTTCACGCGGCGCCCCGTTTCCCACCAATTTGGGCAACATTCTTCGGGGCAAATTCGCTGAATGTCCAGGGTCACGTCCCACTGGGCGGCGAAAAAAGGCCGCGGGAACCGAGTGACCGGGTGCACAAACAGGCCCGGTCACGGCGGCGCCCCGCCGCTCGATTGCGTCTAAATGGGGGCGGAGCGGGGTCGCGCCGGGGTCGCATTGTCGCCGGCGGCCCGCTGTTTGGTCAGCGGCGCGGCGGCGATTCAGCGCGCCTCGCGGGTCGCCGGATTGCGGGTCAGCCTTTAAACGCCCTGAAAAGGTGGCCCGTGTTTGGCCAGATGTCCGGCTGACCGCGACCTGCCGGCCGGCCGGCCGCCCGGCGGCAGGCAAAACATGTTTGTCACCGGCGGCCGGGCACCGGTCATCTGTAATTGGCGAGTATCGCGACACGACCGGCCGGCGGCGACGGACGCATTCCGCGCCACTCCGGCCGCCGGAACTGCTGCTCGACGAGCCCGCGGTGGCCCGCCGCTGAGCCGGCGCGGGAGAGGGGCGCCTGCGGCCCAGTGCGCGGCTGACCCGGCCGGCGCCGGCGCTGTGTGCTCAGAGGTCAGGTGCGGCGCCGGGTCGGCCACCGGTCAGCGCGGCGCCACCGGGGAGTGCAGGCGACGCCGCCGGGCGCTTCGGAGCCAACAGAGACTGTTTGGCATGCTTTCAGGCGGCTGAGGTGATACCCCGCCCGCAGGGATCTGGCGGTCGTGTGATGGACAGGGTGACAAAAATACCACGGACGGGAAACGCTACCAGGAAATGGACGTCATCAAGTGGGCCGAAAGGGAAATAAACACTTGAACTTGATGCTCTGTAATTTGGGGGAGGGCTTGCGCCTCGGGTTCCTACATTCCAGGTCACGGCGTCAAAGAATAACTCCATAAAGGATTTGCTAAAGCATCCCAAAATTTTCAAACTCCCCGGGTATTGCCGTTTTATACGCACTTACCCTTTGGTGTTTGGTGATAATCCAATCCACCTTTTGTAACTGAAGAGTCGATAACGTGCGCTATTTCTCGAGAAGCGTGCTCAATAAAATTTACGGCATAATGTAGCTGACGCATTTTTTGAAAATAGTCGCTAGACCAAGGTAGCGTTTTAAACCTTTGTCTTTCCTTACCAGTTGCCTCTTTCTGAACTTGTTTGCAAATAACCGTTATTGCGGTCATAGTTATTTTGGCACATTTTATTAGGTGGGTGACATTACATTGTCTGATTTTGCATTGTAATTTCGCTAACATTGATTATTAGCATTGTCCGATTTCGCTGGCCCTTTTGCGACCTCTAAAGTGATATTCCTTACACACCACGAATGACTGTAGGAAGAAAAATGACCAAGCCTGCCTCCAAAATGCACTTAGAACAGTTTTCTCCCCAGATTTGAATTTAACGCACTTTCTTTTCAGAGATGGGAGCAGGAGTGTAGTTCCTGAAAACTAATTTTGTGGGCTGAACCGTAAAAATTATGACTGATGAGAAACAATGGATAAAAAATGATAAACGAAAATAGGAAACAACATCCCCAGTTAGGAGGCATAGTCTCCAAAGCTGAAGAGGAAACCGCACTCCTCTAGGCTAGTCATGTTAAGCATGCCTGTATCTCATGACTTATTAGTTAGTCTCAACTATCATTCAGTGTTTGATGGCCAGTAAATGATACTTTTGTGCAAATAAACTCCAAAACTAAAATGCTTTGATGGTTATGCCACATCGCATTTTATTTAGCTTTGTTTTTGTGGTGTATCGCATTTAGGGTCATATTGCAACGGTTTCTAAAAGATTTGGTTCCATGTGACCATCAAGACGGCTTCAAATTATGTAAATAACAGAAAAGGTATTTATTTATCCCTGGGTACCGGGTTCATAGCAAATATTTTATTTGATTCTTTTATGTGACCGACATGAGCAGACAAGACTACTTTTCATTCCACACACGTTCATGTATGCATATTGTACTATCTCCACAAAATTTAACACATGACGCAGCTGGGTACATCACGCCACGGAAATGACTGTTTCAGATGACGCCTCGTCTCTCGCAAAACACGACCCGTTTGACCTGCAATGCACGCGATGCTGGCACCGCCTCACGGCTGCGTGCCCCGCAGACCGTCAATCAGCACGTACTCGAGCGCCCGCGACGGCGACAGCAGTTTGCAGTAGTGGTTGCCGGGGAAGAAGGGCGAGTCGACGGCCGTCTCGATGGCCACCGACTGCACCTGCACGCCGTCCGTGCCGTAGGTGAGCCGCAGCCGCTCCTGCACCCAGAGCGGTCCGATAAGCGCCATGTGGTCGTCCAGCAGGACGGCAGGGTGGCCGCGCCGGCTGAAGCGCTCCCTGGCGGTGTCGGGTGCCGCCGCCAGCGCCGTGTCCAGTGCCAGCTGGTTGGCGTCGCGGCAGGAACGGCGCGGCCCGAACGTGCCGGCCGGCAAGACGGAGGCGACCAGCTCCTGCGAGACCATCTTGACGGCGATCTCGGAGCTGGTATGCGAGTTGGGCGAGGCGTCCACCGGGTCCAGCGGATGCTCCACAGACGAGAAGATGGAGATGTTCGCCGAGGTATCGCCTGAGAACCGAGTCAGGTGAACGACACAGCCTGATGAGCCCGAGTCAGGTGAACGACACAGCCTGATGAGACCGAGTCAGGTGAACGACACAGCCTGATGAGCCCGCGTCAGGTGAAAGACACAGCCTGATGAGCCCGAGTCAGGTGAGGGACACAGCCTGATGAGCCCGGGTCAGGTGAAGGACGCAGCCTGATGAGCCCGCGTCAGGTGAAGGACACAGCCTGATGAGCCCGGGTCAGGTGAACGACACAGCCTGATGAGCCCGAGTCAGGTGAACGACACAGCCTGATGAGCCCGAGTCAGGTGAAGGACACAGCCGGATGAACGATTGGCAACAAACTTTTTGGCATCGGTAGGGCTAATTTATTATTGGGCTAAGTTGCGTAATGCAGATCTCGCGCTGCAAAAATGCAAAAGTAGTGGCTTAAACTTCAACACTAGCACACGAAAACGTTCATTTCATCGCACAAGGATTTCCCATTGAGGCCTTCGAATATCTTTGCTGCAAGGATGAATGCTACTCACGCGACCTGCTGCAAGATCGGTGATTCTGGTATCGCACCAAGCTTAAGTGAATTATGAGCTATAAAAATTATTTGGCATCATTAGCAAACCCAACCCTACTGCAGTCCAGAAAACTGGTCTGCAAGCACGCGAATCTGTTCAAGGTTTTGGTAGCTTTCTACGTATCTCACTTCAAGAGTATGCTCACTCAGTACATCACGAGGAGTCGTGTCCCACCTCTACCCGTCAAGTCGCTTTACCCCCCCCCCCCCCACGCCCTTCGCATCACCCACCGGTGGCGTTCACTGTCGTGTGCTGATGCTCCAACGTGGACAGGTCGGGCTCGTGGCTGCTCTCGATCGCCACCGTCACCGACTCGTTCGCCACGTTTAGCAGGTACCGCTGGGCCGTCGCCGCCCACTCCGAGCGCTCGCCGTCCGCCTCCTGACGCTGCAGCTCGTACAGCGGCGCCAGAAACGCCCCCGTCGCATTATAATCGGTGCGCAGCATGGTGCGACTGTCCTCGGCCAGCGTGCGGTTCTGCACCAGCGCGACGAAGGCGGCGCAGCGTCCGGCGAGCATCTGGCGCGCGGCGTCGGCGTCTAGCTCGGAGAGGATGTCGTGCTCGGCCACGCTTGGTGGAATGTCGCCGGTGAAGAAGTGGGCGTGGTCGACGCCCTCCAGCAGAATGACCGGCTTCAACAGCGGCGCCCAGTCGTGCTCGGGCTGCCGGCGAGGTCGCGTCAGAGGCGGGAGAGGTCACGTTTGAGGCCGAGGAGGGGTCACATCAGAGACGGAGGGGGCTGTAACGTCAGAGTTGGAAGGGGAGAGGTCACGTCACAGACGGGGATGGGTCACGACACAGACGGGGAGGGGTCACGTCAGAGGCGAGATGGGTCACGTTAGAGGCGGGGAGGGGTCACGTAAGAGACGGGGATGGGTCTTGTCAGAGATCGGGCAGGGGTCACGCCAAAGGCAGGCAGGGGTCACATCAGTGGCTGAGGAGGGGTCACGTCAGTGGAGGAAGGGGAGGAGACTACTTAACAGGCGAAGAGGAACAGGGTTTGTGGATCGGGCAAAGCAAGGAGTAACGCTCTTGGGCTGTTCAAAGCGTCGTTTTGTTAAAAGATATATGATATATGAATGCTCTAATCACTCCTGTTTATCATGCAGCCGGGTCTGGAAAACTACAGAATTCCCGCTATTTTTGCACACGCTTTGCACTTTTATAAGCAAGTGCTGCTCATATCGCACGCAGGCGGGACGTGGAATACCCCAATACAACTTATTGCTTATCAACCACTGTCAGCCGCCGCAACCACCCCACAATTTGCCGTCCCGAGACTCAGCACCGCATGGGGGTCGTCAGCTGTACCTCCATCGCCATGAGCTCGGCGTAGGTGTCGGCCATGCGGGTGGGGCGCGCCTGGCCGCCGTCCAGCGTGCCGCTCAGGTGGAGCACGGGCAGCGGAAACTCGGCCAGGGGCCGGTTCGTCAGGTACGAGCCGAACAGCATCAAGCCCCGCAGAGATGCCGCGTTGGAGACCACGTATCCTGAGGCAGTGGCGGGGTCAGGGCAGTGGTGGTCGGGGTCAGGCTCGTACTGAACGGCGTCGGGGTCGCGCCGAGTGCTACGCGGAGTGGGAGGTCACATGCGTTCGAAAAATCGAGGATCCAAGTACGAAATCGAGGATCCAAGTACGAGACCCGCGAAATCACGATCAGTTGGATGCAAAAGAAGATCATTTGGGTTACGGGTATACGGGTAACCCGGGGCAGATTAGGCGTAGAGAGAGACCCCGATAGGTCAACCATGGAGGCAGTTTGAATGAATTAATGTGCGTGTAGAGAAAACAATTTCTATCGACCAACATATTTCTACACGATATTTACGTTCTGTTGTCTGTTACCAGCTGTATGTCACCGACTCACCACAAAACTCTGAACAATGTTCACGGCGCTTATCCAACGACCACTCAGCTTCGACTCCAGTCCGAAGAAGTCGTCAGTCTTACCCTGCACGACAACTCCGCCCAGGCTGTGGGCGGCTATGAACACGTCGACTTCTTCCGGCATGCCGGCCTCTTTCAGGTCCTGCATGACGGTCGAGATGACGGCGCTGATCTGCAGCGGGTTCGGAAAGTTGTTCAGGAAGCCCTCCGCGATGCCGACCCACAGTGGCGAGTCAGTGGCGTTCTGGATGGCCAGGCTGTGGGGTAAGACGCCGGGGTGTCTGGTGAACTGTCAGACCGTACTAGGTCAGAATGTCCAGGCTGCGGGGTAAGACGCGAGGGTGTCTGGTGATCTGTCAGCCTGTACGAGGTCAGGATGGCCAGACTGCAAGGTAAGACGCGAGGGTGTCTGGTGATCTGTCAGCCTGTACGAGGTCAGGATGGCCAGACTGCAAGGTAAGACGCGAGGGTGTCTGGTGATCTGTCAGCCTGTACGAGGTCAGGATGGCCAGACTGCAAGGTAAGACGCGAGGGTGCTGGTGAACTGTCAAGCCGTGTAAGGTCAGAATGTCCAGGCTGCGGGGTAAGACGCGAGGCTGTCTGGTGATCTGTCAGGATGTACGAGGTCAGGATGGCCAGACTTCAAGGCAAGACGCGAGGGTGTCTAATGATTTGCCGGGCTGTACGAGGTCAGGATGGCCAGTGACATGGGATGTCTCAGGCCGCGCCGAAGTGTTGTTTGCTTGTGATGATAATTGGTTTAAACGGCGTGAATGTTAAATCAGGAGGGACAGGCATGCTTCAAAAGTTTATTAACACGTGCCCGGGTAGGTCAATGTAGTTTGTTCACTCAATTGTTGTGTTGCCTAAGAAAGTATCTCAGAGATGTATGGCTTCGCCTAACACTCCGTTGTTGGATCAAATTGAACGATTCCCTAAAAATTACCCTCGCTGAAACCATGTCCTGATTTTTCCCGGCCATAGGTCAGCAACCTTACAAGGTACATCTAAAGTCTTGATGACAAACGATCCTCTATTTCATTGTTTACAGCTATCCAAAATTTGGCGCGGCTACACTGCGCCGTTCAGAAACCATTCTGGTAAAACCTTCGGGGGCCACTTTGATCGCCCACCCGAGCGCGTGTTAAGAGACAACTTTATGGCGGATAAGCTCCGATGAGCATGTTTTGTGTTGTGACCTGTGCTTCTATGTGCTGCCTCACACGGGCTGCTTCCCAAAGCATGTCCACTCATTCTAGTATTTTCTCAATAAGGGCTAAACATTATATCACTTTTTTGGCACATTCTCGTATGCTGTATGAGCGCTGCCGGTAGCGGTGCATTTGAATCACTTTTATCCTCGCACACAGTACTGTCTATTTTCTCCATTATTGTTGTAGGTGAGAAATGCGTTCTATCTTCTGAATTATAACTCGTCAGGCAGCTTATGCAATCCTCACATAGCGGATAATGTATAGCGCTTGCAAGATCAAGGCCTTTGTGAAAATATTCATAAAACGCTGTAAGCGGCTGATATATGGATAAAGCGATGCTGAGATGTGTTTGTGGACAACGCAAAAGGTATGCTGTGCTTTATGCAAGGTTTGCCGCGTCTAGGATATGTTCGGTAGTCTCATAATGAACGATGCAGCCTGCCTTTTTTTCCCACGGCGCGCAACGCTCCAAAGCACTTCAGCAGAAGACCAGATGGCCTTGAAATGACCTGGTGACTCCATAATAACGTGCGGCAGCCGCTCAAGGATCGAAGAGTTTCGTAAGTCACATTTCAATCGCATATCACAGCCAAGTTTTGTACCTGCGGAACTTTTTTAAGCCTCTACGTTCGATGTGATCGACATTTTGGTGAAAAGAGGTCACAAAGCACGTGCTGAGTTCTGGGAATGATGTGTTGAATTTCCAGTTTACTTTCATCCTATGTGGGCTGGATATGTTGGCTTCTGCCATGCGTTGAAGAAGTAAAGTGATGTCACATTTCTGGCCTGAAACAGTAATTTGGTAACCTGGGTGTATTTGCATGACGCTGACGTTCCTATCTACGTAAAAACTGAGACTGTCCGAAACATATTCACAACGTTGGTCGAGATATGGGCAAGAGAAGTTCGTAAGCACGCGTGAACGATGAACAGAATTCTTGGCGCTAACCACTTCCCTGGCCGCGCGTGAGATAAGATAGGTGTTTTACAGGAACGAGATGACACCTCCCCAATCCATCTCGCCGCGAGCAAACCACAGGCACATGGCCCACCTCACCCGAGCTCCTTGTACTGCTCCGGGTAGACATCAGCGCCCTGCACGAGCACCATGGCGGCGGGGTTGTCGCCCGGCGCTGGCGGCGGCAGCACAATGCTACGAGCCGCGGACACCAGCGCCAGGAGCAGCAGCGGCAGCAGCAGCATGGTGAAGCTGCAGTGTCAGGCGGTGTTCTGAACGAGCCAGAGCCAGGTGCCGGTCCGCCGCGGACGCGTGGGAGCGGGCCGGCTGGCGGATCGGCGGGGTTACGTAACAGGGGATTGTCGGGAATCGACGTGGGTTATCTTGGCGGCGGATTTGGAGCGCGGATGCACGCGCGGCAGCTGTTGTTTTCGCCGTGAGCCGCACATCAGGAAGACATGGTGTGAAGGCGGTGTGAGGCTGCGCGACTTCAGGAAGAATTGATATCGTCGCACGGGACCGCAGGCTTGCAGGCATGAAGTACAGGTGTTTGAAGCTGTATATGGGTCAACCGGGGCCTCTATTAGCGTATTAATGTTGGAAAACAGGGATCCAAGGCCACTTTTGCGCCAGAGGTCTTACTGTGCCAACGATTTACGCCAGTGATTTACGTTGTTCAGAGCCCCACAGCGCCTAGCGGGATGTTGTCAAGGGGCCCCGAGTCGCCCAGGGCGGTGTTCGAGGAGACCCGAAGAGCCTAGAGAGGCCCACCTGGTCTGGCAATCAAGGGCCCGCTCGGAGGGTCTAAGAGCATAAAGGGCTGGTCGCAGTCTTATTCAGGGCCCAGACCTGCGAAGACGGGCCCCCAAATAATGGTCAGAGGGCCAGTTACGCCGATCGGGCACCTCCTGGGTCGATGTGGGCCTATATGTCGGTCAGGTACCACCATGCCACGCAGTCGGCTCCGTGTCGGTATGGGCCTGAGGACCCACTTCCCAATCAGCTATAAAGCCGTGGCCAGTGATTTACGCTGGTCGGAGGCCATGTATCGGTCAGGGGCCCATAGCGCCTAACAGAGAGCCTTGTGCTCGTGAGGGCCCCGAACCGACCAAAGGAAGTGTTTGATGAGGCCCGAAGAGGGCCTCATCAAAGGGCGGCCCACCGGAACCGACAATGGTGAAAGGCCAGGCTGGAGAGCATAAGGGCTCGAAGGATTGGCTGTAGGTTGCATAAAGAATCCCGGCTTATACGGTCGTAGCCTGAAACATCTGTCAGAGTTTCTCTTGTACCGTTTTAGGAACCCCTGAGATCATGCGGGTTTGTACGTCGGTCAGGGATAAAAAACATCGAACAGTCGACCCCATGTCCGTCTGAGCCCTTGAGACCCATTTTCCAAGCGGAAATGGGGCCGGGGTCCGCGATTTGCAATGTTCGGGGTTCTTGACACAATGAGGGCTCCTGTGTCGGGTAGGGGCCACACTGCGAGGTCCTGTGGCAGCAAGTGGCCCCGAGGAGGAGCGGTGCTTGAGGGGGTCCGAAAAGGGGCCAAAGTGTCTCTCGAGACCAAAGGTCAGGGGCCCGATGGGACGGCTGTAGGGTTCCAAGGGTTGGCTGTGGAAAAAAATTAAGGACCCCCGCCCTTAGAGCTGTGATCTCAAATGCCAGTATGATGACCTCTTGCACCGGTAGGGACCCCTGAGACAAAGCGTTCCTCTATTTCGGCCAGAGATAACGAACAACGAACAGTCAGCTCCGTGTTAGTCTGAGCTCTAGGGGTCTATTTCCCAAACAGGGACAACGCCAGGACGTGCCTTATATCTGTCGGATCCCTGTATCATTCAGGGGCCCACAATGTCTAACAGGGCATTCTGTATCAACAAGAGGCCTCGAATCGGTCAGGGGAAGATTTGTTCAACAGGGACGGGGGCGGGAGCTCAAATGGCAGAGGGCCTCTTGCGTTGGTCGGGGCCTTCTGAGAACGGAAGGAAACAAGAACTTAGGATGGGCGCTCACATTAAGATAAAAGAATAGTCCTGTGCTAGTCAGGGCCCCTGTACCGAACGTTGGGTCCTCCAACTCTATTCCAGTATGGGCCCGTTAAGCCTAACAGGAGTCTATGTGCTAATTATTCGACCACCTGCGGTGAGCAGGAATCCTGTTGCATTACTGACGGTTCGTGCGGTTATCCGGGGTCAACTGCGCGGATCAGAGGACCCCCCGCGTCAGGGAGCGGACCAATGTCATATGATGTATCCTTCTAAGGATCTGCTGATCGGCCAGAGCATGCCGCCCGTGTCGCCAAAATAACGACCGGAATACACAACGCGGTGCGAAAGAATGGCCCTTCAGCCCTTGACCGGGAACAACAATGTGCTCCGAAGTGCTGTACTCGAGGAAGCCTCTTTACCGGAAAAAATAAAGGGTCTCATTAGGGCCGAGTGGAGTGGGTCGAAATGAGTTTAAAACGCACAAGGCCATCCCAAGTTTCCCTGAGAACGTCCATTATTTTGCAGAAGCGACTGGTGGAACAAATACCATCAAAATGTTTCAGCCTGCGCACCGGGTGCCGATAATGTACCAGTTTACTCTCCCGCGTTAACCACTGCGCGTCTGGAAAACCAAAGGTGTGGGGGTCGATTCCCCGCGGTGCCCGCCCTTTCCGCCAGGGTGAGAGGCTGGCGGCGCCATATAGCCTCAGCAGCTGAGTGTTTCACAAAGCCCCAATGACACGGCCGTGATCTCGGAGCGCAAGGATAGCGATGGCTTGGCTCGCAGTTTTCGTAAAACCGAACGGCGCTGGCCACTGCATGTAACGCCAGGGGGCGGCCGCCGAGTGCGCAACAATGACTATGATAAAATGTTTTTGAATGTCTTCTAAAACTAATTCATGCAGATCAAAGATAACACTGGGCGAATCTTTTTTAAAACTTTGAAGATGTCCTCTGGACAGATTAACAGTTACAGAAACACGACAACAATAAGTTTACCTTTACTCTTCCAGCTCCACAACCAGATTTCAACACCATTTCGCGGTGCTGTAAAGACCAACAGGTTGTTGTCATCAATCTAAAAACCGCACAGGTAAAATATACTCCCGGAGTATCTCTAAATGTACGATTTGGAGTCTAAAAGCTTTCAAAGGTACTTCTTTCAGATGGATCACTATTTTCGCCCACCTGTTGGCCACGGCCTGGTATAAGCCACCGGGCCAACCCCGTGCAGCCTAAGGAGACTGCAACGTCTGACGTCGAGTTTTTTTCTATGACATGCGAGGGCGTACGCCCAAAACTACGTTACGTAATTTGTACCGCTAATCGATTCTGACTGAATATTGAATATATCCAGGCAAAGATGACTTGGCCATTTTAATGCGACTTCTTGGCTGGCCCATTTTGATCTTCAATTTGCATTCGCGGAACCCTTGCCATTTCTATAAAACCTAGATAAAGATTCTGACAAAGTTCCTGAGTTCTATCGATTTAAAAGAGTTCACTGGGCCACAGTGAGATGAGGAGCGCAGGCGATTTATTTCATGCGGTCATTTAACGCGCGATTTTGTCAGTTCAGTTGCTGTAAACTAAGGGCAGAATTGATATCGCGGTAGCAGGTGACCTATTTTCCAGTTATAGAAGATAAGGTGTGCAATATATATATATATATATATATATATATATATATATATATATATATATATATATATATATATTTGGGTGGTCTTTTCCTATCAGGAGGCCCTTTGTCAAACCTTTGCCAACCTTGCCAAAGCTCTGGCTGCGCTCCTGTTATTTTCACAGTGGCAGGCCAGTGGCAAAGCAGGTAGATGTAGGGTAGCTTATCAGATTGTGTAACGAATTGTGTCTATATCAGATTTTAATTGTTAAGAGCGCAGCCGCTTGCATGTCTCTGTTACACATGTTCTAAAAACGTGCGTGACAGCATTTGCAAACTATTGTCACTTTCCCGTTCGGGGTTTGTATCTAAGTTATTATAATGTAAATGGCGTATTTCCCGTAATATGCATTAACGGCTATGTTAATGACTGCTGACCAGGCATTGATCATGAAATAATCATCATCGAATCGTCGGTATGTCATCGCGCCACCACCGTCAGTAGGAATCGTCAGAAGCTCCCCAAGATGCACAACCCGGAAGTCTGAATAACATTGAGCCAAATACTGAACAACTGGAATGAACACGCGCTCATATAACCACTCGATTAGCTACTTCGTTTACCTCGTCAACACTTCGGAGGCGAGAAGCGGCACCGACTCACGGGTCTCCAAGGAACATAACTGGATCAGAAAAGACTCACCTGAACCACCTGTTTTGGGCCTTCCGTCGCTCAGCCTGCCCATCGTCTACAAACGCTGCCAGCCAGCTTAGCGCCCTGAACCGAGAGCGAACAGCGCGCGGCGTCTCTCTGCGGAGCGCGCCGCCGCCGCCAGCTGTGTACACGTGGCCGCTCGGCCGGGGTCGCGGCGGGCGGCCGGCAGACGCGGGGGCGGACTCCGGGGCGCCACGAGTTTAAAGGGTCGCCAGACAATGGAGCGGGGGTTTTGTCCGGCCGGACATCGGAGCTGGCGGTCCTCGCTCCGCGCGCGGCGCCGAAAGAGGCCGTCCGCCCAGCCGCGCATCGCTTTCTCAGCAGAGCCCAAGAGCACGCCATCGAGAGCTGCGGCCTCCCGAATTCGATACAGGCCGTCCCGCGACGGATTATCCCTTGCCACTTTCCGTGAAAGCTCAGTTTAAAGAGCGGGATGGGTGCGCAGTTTGGCTGTAGCCGAAAGCACCGCTTTCTGCCCCGATGTGCTCGATCGATTGAAGGGTGAAGGCCAGTGATGAAAGTGAGGCGTTACACCCAAAACGGGCGACAACCGGATTTGAGGATTCGCATGAGTTTTTAGTCGTATCCTGGGGTAGGTGGACTGGGATTGGGACTCGGATTCCAAATTCGAATAAATTCGAACAGATGAGATTCTTTTCATCGCAACTTGGAACTTATCAGTCAATGTAAAGAAGAACGGATGATTCAGCCCGATAGAGAACCGACACATGCATGTTGCATCTATTGTTGGGACAGCTCCTAGCCTCAGCCGCTCATAGCATCAGCGTATAGCACAGAAATGAGGCAAGATGGGTGTATCCGTACTGCACTACCGGTTTGCAAACGGTCTCGGGTTCGTCGTCCAGCGGTAAATACAGCTCGCACTTGCAACGAAACAGCAGTGAGCGTGTAAGACGGCTGTTTCTATTGATCGTGTCCTGTGTCAGAGGGCTGAGCCTAACAAAAGGTCGGATGCACTGTAAGACACGACCCATAATGCTGCTTGACGCAGCACACATAATTGTGGCAAAGGTGCTTGCGAGCAGGCTTAGTACAGTAGTTAACAAAGTGGTGCAACGAAAACAGACAGCCTTATCAAGAACGGATATTAGCGACAAACTGACTTATCTCAGACAAAATACATCACTGCAGCATCAAACAAATACCAGGGATTGCGATGGCATCTGATTACGCCGCCGCCTTTGGTAGGCCAGAGCATAATTATCTGTTTGTAAAATTAGCAAATTAAGATTTTGGACGTTCCTTCATGGTATGGATAATGTTACTTTAGACAGGTCCAAAATTTCAGGGATTCTTTCATAACATGGATAATATTACTATGAAAGCGTCCACAGTCCTCGTGTTAACAAGAACGGCCGCGCATCAGCGTGGTTTAAGCCGCCACGAGTTATATGACAGGGTTGGCCTGTCTCAGGAATGTTGTTCGTGTCAGCTGCCGAGATTCGTCATGCAAAGCAGTGTAAAAAGTTAGCTGAATTGCCGTTGGCAGAATGGATGAATCTGGCGGCGTACACGACGCGACCCCTTGCGTCAGAAAGGAAAACCACGCGTGGAAGGCATGTGAGATGGAAAGCAATTTTGGCGAGATTTCGGGAATTCTTTTTAACTTATATGTGCAACCCTGTTCTCATTGGTCCGCACTGAACGAGGTCTCGGACTCTATCTGCACCAAAGGTCAAGATTAAATGCAAGTCTCTGAGTGTCTTGTTTCCAGCCGATGGAAGATGTACAGAGGATGATAGGTATAGAACTAAAAATGAGGAGTAAGCAACGCCATGAATTTATGGAACTAGAGTGGGTTGTAAAAACCGGGATAGTCATCTCAAAAAGTCTGGAAATATAAAGGTTTAATTGTGTGTAAGTGTGCCTCAACATTTCATGAAGCACCGCTACACAAATAAGGCGCGAATTATGAGGTTCGTATGTCTGTCCCGGTCCCAAAAAGGAGCGCAGACAACCTGCGTCAAGGCTCGGGGATCGGCGTCGAATGTCGTCTATTGCCCGTATTTATCAAAAACACGTGCTTGGCGTGTGCTGGTCACGTAATCATAGACACCTCACTCGCTTGACGAAAGCTGCTCCAAGCATTTACTGGTAAAATGGGATTGTCTGATATACTGAAACCACAAGTACTCATGTGGCTCATGTCAGTTCAGAACACGCAACCGGACTGCATTCCGAAATGTAGCGCCGACTGGAGGGGGACAGCTTGCTATTCCATCATGCATCGGTTCTGCTTCCACTTCACATAAGAAAGAAAACCACTGAGCTTCTGGCTTTTTTTGCCCGAAAATAATCGGCCTTTAAAATACCTGGAGGCACCCGTTAAACAACGATGAAACCTGATATTCACTCGTGACCATGAGCATGACTTCGAAACGTCGAGACCTCTCACTATAAATCATGCTTGCTTAATAACCCTACCCGGCTAAAGTCTCCTGATATGTTGAAAGTAGATTACTTTTTGCATGAAACCCGCACCGCATAACGTTTCGTTTTCTCTTTCATGCATCGACCGCGTGGTGGAAATCAAGGTGCTTGTACCATCATCTGTGTTTTGTGGGCCGCTCTCAGCGCCGTCTGTAGCACCTTTGATAGCGTCTTCTTGCGGTAGCTCAGTAAGGTACTACAAACCAGCAGGACGGTCAATGACTCAATTGTATGGCGACCGGGGACAGAAAACTGCCAGAAAAGGGTAACACAATCACAGGAAGGCACCCGAATGCCTTTGCTCTAAGCACATTCTAACAGTAACCTTTTATCGCCCTGGTTCATGGTTCAGTGCTGGTGATCGCTGGCCGAAATACAGTCCCGCAATGTACAATTGGTCCCCAATAGATGCAAGACGACCTCTGACTGGCATTTGAGGTCACGGCTTTACGGGCATGTGACGCCCTTAAGATGACCTAGGTTAATCCTTCGGGCCCTTCAACCTTCCAATCGGACGCTTTATCTTTGGTGCAAAGGGTCCCTTCAGCACGTCCTTGGACTGTTGTGCGTGTGGGCACTAACTCTTGAGCGCGTATCTTAACACCAAAGGTTTATTCGGCAGTCGCTGGAGCACCGAGCGGCCCGACCGTCGCATGTGCGTGTCGCGGGGTGAGAGAGGGAGCGGATGTTTGCATAGCATATCTGTTGGCGCTGACGAAAGGCATATACGAAATTGTGAAACAATTCGCCAAATGAAAGGTCTTTACGAGTTGGAACTATTTCTGTCGGCGTGAAGAAATAATTTAAAGGGTAGGAAATGATTGTAGGTACAGCTGGCGGAGTTAGCGTGACAAATTCCAAGTGAAACCTGAAACTGCATAGGGCACGGTGCCATCTAGCGGATGGGACGGCAGGCGTGTTTTCACTGGCGCCGCCTACAGGTGACGCAGTCTACAGGGCCCCCTCAAAACCCGTGACCGACTCGGGGCCACCAGCCGACACGTGACCCCTTATTAGGTGCTGCGAGTTCATGACCGACACAGGGGTGCCAAACATTGCTTCAGGAACCCAAACCAATGTGAAGCGTGGCCCCCAGTCCTTGCTCCTGCTTGGGGACTGGGCCTCCAAGGTTCAGACTCACAGGAAGCCAACTGTTCTGTGTTGATGTTGTTGGTCTGCTTAACTTAGACACTCTCAATGTCTCAGGGATCCTGTAGCAGTGCAAGAGGTTTTCTGATTTATATTTCAGGTCACGTCCCTACGGGCCGCGATTCTTTGTCACCTATAACCCGCCCTTCGTGTCATTACGGCCTCCAATCAGACCTGGCCCCTGATTATTGGTTCCAAAGGGCCGCCTGGATACCTCTTCAGGCCTCACTGAACATTACCCCTGGTCCACGCGAGGCCCTTTGCAAAGGACAATCTGTTAGGCGCTGCGGGAACCTACCAGACGTTGGGGTCCACAATCGCTGGATTAGGCTCCGTCCCTGCTTGGGAAATGGGCCCTCAGGCTCCTCTGAGCCGACTTTGGGTTACTGGTGGTGTCTGACCAGCATGTAGGGTATATGAGCCCTCGCCGACTCAGGGGACAGCGCGCGGGGCCCGCTAGCTTCCATGGGAGCGCCTGGCCGCGCAGGCCGGTGTCCCCGAATGCGACCTCCGGCTGCCCCCCCCCCCCCCCTCCCAAGCCCTTGGGTTACCAAATCGGGCTCTTAGTCGTAGCTTTTGGGGGCCGAAGGACTCCTCGGGACCTGAGGGGGGAGGTACACAACCCCTTACCCCCTACCCACGCTTTTGCTTCGCTCTTTCGATCACCCATTCATCTTCCATTCACTTCCTCACATTTTGCCGCTTTTGCGACACAAACTCGTAAAAACGTTTTCGGAAGGGAAACGCAACATCTTAAACCCTAGCGGGATTAGTTGGAAATGTTTAAATGCATATCAACAGCAACTTTTCTTTCAATAATAGACAGCTCAGTTAAGAAATATATATTTTTGAGTTTCTTAGCTTTAATTGTTGTCTAATTTATGGCTATAATTATAAATGATTGTACAAATAGTATTTTCAATATGTCATGACGCTAGTGTCGCCAAGTCATTGGCATCGCCATTGTAAAACACTGCCGCGTGTTCTCCGGTGCTGGGGTGGTTGCCGGCCGTTGGATCGCCTATATTTGATGTTTATGCAGGATCCGAAGAATTTCACCCATCGATTTGCCTTAGAATAACCGAAAATCGTCATTTGGTGTGTTAGCAAGATTTCAAACCAGCTGCCGAGATGGACATCGTCGAAAGATTGTACAAAAACTTTGAAATTCTGAGCAGCGCCAAAGACCAGGCAAAAAATGTGAGTTGTTTGGAGCGCGATACGCAGTCACTGTTTTGGTAGTATGCTTGTGTAACATGGCATTAATTAATTTTTTAAGTTTCAGAAATTTTTGTGCCACCATGTTGATGTGTGCACTTGAGATAACCTTGTGGGCAGGAGCTAGGAAGCTTCTGTGGTTTGTCCGCAATAATCATGTTAGCAGTTCTGAAGAGAGCTTTCTAAGGTCATGGCACTCACTGCATGTGTAGGAAATTGCACTGGAATTTTTGTTCTCTAGGTTTCCGAGGAAGGTGATTCCAGTCATGCAGCATGCTGTGGGCAATGTTGGGTCACATGCTGGGACCAGTCAGCAAAAAATCTGTAACATGGTCACATGAAGTTGGTGTGCTGAGCATTGGGTCCAGATAACAGCAATTTCCTTGTACCCATGATGAGAATTTTAGAGCAAGGCCAGTGACATAGCAGCAACCTTTTCAGAGCACAGCAATATGTTTGCAACAATTTCAAGGTACTCATATCTTAAATCTCTTGGTGTTCAGCAAGCTGTCAGCATCAGTGTCAGCTCATATATAGCCAATGTTTCAAGATAACTGGGTGCTGTGCATGTAATTTAAGGCCTAAATATGTCTTAACATTTTTACAAAAAGATATGTGAAAATTCAGCACAATTTGGCCTGGCCTCATGCATACAACTGTTGGGCTCAAATTGCACATGTTAGCAGATGTTGCTCAGGTGTCCAGGATAGTGATATATTTTGGGGGAATGTCCTGTGTTAACCACTGCTCATCTGGGAAACCAGAGGCACTGGGTTTGATTCCCTGCAGTTTCCACCCTTCCAGGTGGGGTGAGAAACAGGTGATGCCATACATATAGCCCAAGCAGCTGAGTGTGTTTTAAAATCCTATTGACTTGGAGAATAGCACTGGAACATGCATGCATCAAGCTGAGGGTGGGATAAGGTTATTGGATTTTCAAATAAGCTTTGCTTTGAATTTTGTTGGATATGTATTTTGGAAATTACTGTATTGACAAACAATATAAAATGCAAATTCAGCCTACTTTGTTCTAGCCTGAACTTGGTGTACACATTTTCCAGATTTGGATGAATGTCATATAAGCATTGTGTGCAGGGAATTAGTCTTTTGGCAACACGGTCCTCTCACCTATTTTGTGAAATTACGCTCCTGCTTCAAAGCATTCTGATGTCTTCAATATCAAAAGTGATATTGTGATGTTATAAATGATTATACAGTATGCTGCAATGATGTTAATGCTGTACAAGATTTGAACATTGTAGATCACATCCTATTGTCATGCTGTCTGGGCCTCTCATCACTTCTGGTATTTCATTAACCTAACACTTCGGAGTCCAATAGATGCCTTTCTGTATCACCATTTCATGTTGGTTGCCATTGGGATGGTGGGGATTGAACCAGAGTTTAAGGTGTGGTGTGAGTCTTTATACAAGTGAACATGCATCATGCATCTATGATTCACTCTAAGGATAATGTCATGCATTTAATCAGATTTTTGATATGCTGTCCCTAACAGTAGCATCCAACATTGGTCCAGTAGGGTGTGGTAGGAGCAATTGGTTGATGAATGATTTATTACCCTTTGAATTCAAACTCAGACATCTGACCTGCCTGTCAGGTTTTTGCCAGCCTGGGACACCTAGATACTGGGTTGACCACCACCTAGTTTAATGCTGATTGGCCAATTTTGAGCAAGGGGAGGGGCAATGGGCAGTGTGCCCAACCTGGGGGTGTAAAAGCATGACAATATTGACATCCCTATCACTTAATTGGCAAAATATTGAAACACTGCTGAAAAAGATCTTCAGCTGAGCTGGAGCAGGGTGGGTCATCAGTAAAAAAAACACAAATGGGAGGTTGTTAGGGAGGAATATTATCACTGTCTTGTACTATGGCTCTGGTAGAATAAAGCTGCTAAAAAGCTGCTTTGCTGCCTCCGTGGTCTTGGGGAAAGATGCCGGACTCGTAATCCAGCGGCACTGGGTACGAGTCCCAGAGTGGGCGCATTGTTTGACACAACTGAAATGGAAAGGCCAGCTGGCAACTGGCCAACGAGGCTCAACCCAGACCTGAGGCGGCCGTGTCGCAGCATTGTGCGGCACGTAAAACCCTCGGCATTCCTGTCCGGCGAAAGGGCAGAGGCAAAATTAGCTGTTGAACTGGATGGCACGCTTGGCTGGTGGGTTCGGGGTACATGCAACAAGCCATGCTTAGCAGGTACTCCGAATCCGAAGTCACCCATGCAAACCATTTGGGATAAATTTATAAAAAAGGCCCTGGTGGAATGCTCATGTAACATTTCCTCTGAAGTTTTGCATATATTAGGAGAATAAAGCATGTTTCAGTGTGTGTGCTCTGTGTGATAATACTGAACAGGAACTAGGTCATATAAGAACTAAATCACGTAGGCTTGACATCTGTGCATGACATTGGTGTATGTGGAGGACGTGGATTTTCAAGGATGTTCACGGTTTGTATTGTTTCCAGCATGAAAAGGAGTACCTGGAGATCCTGGAAGCAGTCAAAGGGAACGCCAACGAGAAGCGGCTAGCATCGCAGTTCATCGCGCGCTTTTTCAAGCATTTCCCCAGCCTGGCAGATCAGACCATTGACTCCATTCTAGATCTCTGCGAAGATGAAGATACATCGGTATGTTCATGCCTCATGTGCTGTGAAGGCGAGCTTTAGACTGAAAGGATCCTTGCACTAGCTGAGAATATTTTCAGGTCTAGCAACAGGACCCAGTCATCATGTCTTCTGCGAGTTGGAGGTCGTTGTCTCATGAAGGTGTATTGAAGTTTAGCCCTCTGGATATTACTTAGATTGTGTTTCTTGCTAGTATGATAATATTTAAGCGAATAACGTCAAAAACTTGTCATCGATAGTCATATTTCGTAATAGATACACTGGCGATTCTATGTGTGTACTGACAGACGAGACGGGGATGGAAGTCCGAACAGTTATCCATCCGTAGTGCCAACTGGAGCGCCTCACTGCTGGTATGCCCCGCGTCTGTACGGGGTGGGGCGCGTCCCTGACGCCGCTCCGGCCGGCCGCCGACAGATCCGGAAGCAGGCGATCAAGGACCTGCCGCAGCTGTGCCGCGAGAGCCGCACCTTCCTGCCCAAGATCGCCGACGTGCTGGCGCAGCTGCTGCAGTCGGACGACACCTCCGAGATCAAGGAGGTGCACAGCTCGCTCACCGTCCTCTTCAAGATCGACGCCAAGGGTACGGCCACCAGGGTGTGGCCACGGCCATGGTCCACATTCCGCTGTTGTGTCAGAGGGCGGACAGGCACTCGCGCCGCTGCGTCCGTTTTGACCGCGGCAGTTACAGAGCAATATCACTGTACTTGTACTGAGAGCCAATCCTTATTCTTGTCAAGTATCAAGTGAGCCTAAACCAGCCACAGACAACGCCAACGTACCATGCTATTTCCATGGAAGAACAATTCAAATTTCAGCATTTTTCTTACATGAATGGCTTAGCCTTAAGATATCCCAAATTTCCTCAAAGATGTGAATGGGTGTGTGTGTGGGAGTGAGAATTAACCTGGCCTGTGTGTTTTTTTATTTTTTTAAATTTAATTAACCTGAGAATTAGCCTGAATTAAATAATGGGAATTAACCTGGCAACAGTGTACAGGGGTCTGGATACCCTGAAAATTACCTGAAACTCAGGAACGGCGATTTAAGTTGGCGGCCGGAGCCAGCGATGCATCGCTCACTATACACACCCAGCATAGGTGCAGTGTCCCTTCAGCATGATACCACTGACCGCATGTACTTTTGCAAGGCATGCTACGGTGTAGTTTTTGTAATGGCTTTGGATAGGGAATGTACCAGATCTATGCAGATGTTTGAAGCTGGAATACTTCTGTTTAGGTGTATGTTGCATCATTTTACACACACACACACACGTACGCACGCACGCACGCACGCACGCACGCACGCACGCACGCACGCACGCACGCACGCACGCACGCACGCACGCACGCACGCACGCACGCACGCACGCACGCACGCACGCACACACACACACACACACACACACACACACACACACACACACACACACACACACACACACACACACACACACACACACACACACACACACACACACACGCACACACACACAATCTACAGCAACTTCTATGAACGCTGCTGACCGCCTCCCTCAGTGTCACGCGGGTCTTCTTGCAGGGACGCTGTACGGCCTGTTCTCTCAGATCCAGTCCGAGGAAATGGAGGACAGCCTAATTCGAGAGCGGGCCATCAAGTACCTGGCTGCGAAGGTCAAAACATTCGACTCCGACGTCATGACCAAAGAGGCGCAGGAAATACTCTGGAATGAAACCAAAAAGTCACTCAAGGTGCGCTGCTATGCTAGCCATAGAACCAGGAAGGTCTGATTGACTTCTGTGATTACATAGTTGACAATCTGGCTTCCGCGTCCCGCTGCTGGACAGTTTGGCTGTTTCTACGCCTCGGAAGACACAACGCAGTTTGTTGTTGAAAGTCTCTGCCAGCCACATCAGGTACCTGCACACCTCACACAGATCACATGCTCACTCCTGTTCTGGCAGGACGTGACTGGCGAAGAGTTCGTCCAGTTCGTGGACATCCTGTCGGGCACGCAGACGGGCCGCACGGTCAGCGGACACCAGCAGCTGCTGCAGCTCATCTGCGACCAGCTGGACGCCGCTGACCAAGGTGGAGCTCGCCGACCCGGAGGCGCGCGACAAGCTGCTGCTCTGCGTGCGCCAGGCCGTGCGCTTCGTGTCGGTAAGGCCGCCGCCACGCCGCTGCTGACACGGTCGGGTTCGGAGCGTCGGCTGGGTCTGAGTCGGGTCATGTTACCGGGCTGGGACAGACTGAGCGGTGTCTAAGGGTGGGGGTGAATCGCAGTCTCTGTGTGTTGTGGGCGTCGAGTATCTCACTCAGTGGTTGGGGTGGGCCTGCTAAGTTTATTGAGGCCAAGTGCTAAACATTTATGTAATCAAATTATTGATCGTAAACCCGCGACGATTACGAGCTGTATAGGTCTGTACTGAACTGAACAGCGCCTGCCATCTCACCGATCGCCTCCCGTCTGACCCTGTGACCCCCTCCTCCTCCCCTCAGCGCCAGACGCGGGCCACGCAGCTTGTGGCTTACCTGATCGACGCGGTGGTGCCGCGGCTGGGCCAGCTGCCGGCCGACGCCCAGCTGGAGCTGCTCAAGCCTCTGGCCGAGATGGCCCAGTACACAGGCGAGCTGGAGGGCGTGGAGGCGCGCCTGGAGCGGCTCCATGCTGCGCTTGTGGTGAGTGCTGGCGCCGCGCCCCGGGCCGCGCTCGGGATCTGGGATGAGTGCTGTCGCTGCGCCCCGGGCCGCATTCGGGGTGAGTGCTGGCGCCGCGCCCCGGACCGCGCTCAGGGTGGGTGGGACTGCGCGCTGGACAAGGGTCTGGTTTGCTGTTGTGTTGGCGTGTGTCGGGACTGGCTGCTGTTGCTGGTGATAACAATATAGAAACATTGGAGTGGAGTAGTGTTTTTTGTTAGCAGACCGCATCGTAATTCATGAATGTGACCAGGCAGTGGCTCGCCACAACTGATGTGAATGTGACTTTCTGGCCACATCTAACCGTATTATTGCTTTTGTCCTGCTGTTACCGTAACTTTGGGTCACACCCCTTGCAGCCATCGATCAGATGTCCGCTAACGGCGCCAGCAGCGTGCCAACTGTGATAGACGTGGCGGTCCTCGTAAGCCGCAGCCAGGGCCACCCGTCCCGGCTGTTCAGAGGGCTTCGGCCGAGGACCGCTCTGACCGCGCCCCGTGACCTGTGCAGGAGCGCATGCCGCTGCCGCCGCCGCCGACCGAGGAGAACGGCGCCGTGGCCGAGCCGCCCAGTCTCGAGTTCTCGCACATCGAGTGTCTCATGTTCACGCTGCACCAGCTGGCGCGCCGCGCGCCCGCCTGGTTCACCGACGACGCCGACCGGCTCAAGGACTTCCGACTCAGGTCAGCGGGCGGCGGCGGCCTGGGGTGGGTCAGGGCAGAGCGGGGCAGGGTGGCGGCGACGTCGGCTCCCACCGGCGTCTGAAGCTCGGGCGGTGTTTTGTGGGGTGCGTTAGCCGCATCTTTGCCGCGACAGGCTGCGGATGGCTACTTGGGAGTGTGGGCGCTATGTGGCCTAGAGTCGCTGCTTCCAAACTTGGAGAAGTCACCATTGGGTGTCGGAGCATTGAGTCTTGTAGACCCACAAGTGGTGGCGTAGCTGCCTGGCCGCGAAGATGCCTCCTTCCGAATCTGGACCGTTGGTGAGAACGCAGGTCACGCTGTTGCCTGAAGCTGCACGTGTGTCCTCTCGCACAGGCTACAGTACCTGGCGCGCGGCACGCAGGGCTACATCAAGTCGCTGAGGGAGGCGCTGAAGGACGCCGACCTCAAGTCTGAGGAGAACAAGATTCGCGCCGTGGCGCTCAAGACCACCTCCAACATCAACACCATGATCAAGGACCTCTTCCACACGCCGCCCAGCTACAAGAGCACCATCAGTCTCTCCTGGAAGCCGATGACGGGCACCGCTGCAGGGGTACGTGTATGCAACTGTTGTTTGCGTTTGTTTCTTCTGTGCTACTTATTTAGTGGATGGGGAGATGTTCTGTTGCAGAGGGTCCAGAATGGTGTTTAGGAGGGTTCGGCGAACAGTGACGGGTCATGTTCTTTGCCTGCGATGCATGTGCGTCTGATTACTGTTTGGGCTCAACATTGGTCTGTCCTGGCTGCAGTTTTTATATGTACGTGTGTTGGCTATCCACCGACGAGCGTGGGCATCGGCAGTCCTGATCGCTCGCCGGTGCTGGTGGCTGACTGCCGGCCTCCGTCCGCAGCAGAAGGCGACAGAGCCGGCGGCGGCCCCGGCCCCGGCGCGCTCCGGCGAGAAGCGCCGCGTGCCCATCACGTTCGGCGGCGCCGACTCGGCCAACAAGAGCAAGGACGGCCGGCGCATGTACCAGCCGCCCAGCGGCAAGTACAGCGATCGGGCCGGCGGCTACCGCGAGCAGACGTCGCCGCGTGGCGCGCGCGGCGGTCGCGGCCGCCACCGGGGCGGGCGCTACTGAGCCGGCCGCCCAGCGCCGGGAGGCCGCCGCAGGAGGACCGGACAGTGTGCCAGCGGCGGACGGTGCCGGTGTCTGGCAGCTGGCACCGGGGCGCGCGCTACTGAGCCGGCCGCCCAGCGCCGGGAGGCCGCCGCAGGAGGACCGGACAGTGTGCCAGCGGCGGACGGTGCCGGTGTCTGGCAGCTGGTCGCTATACAAAGGCGACTGATGGGTGCTGAACGGGGAGGAGAGAGAGATCACGTGCGCCTGCCCTGCGCTGCTGCTGGCCGGCTGGTGTGGTATTGGTGGCGTGGGACAGGCAGAAAGTGGTGCGGTTTGAGCCGTCTCGACCAGGCGGCGTCACACACGCGGCCCATTATGACAGGTGTGTCTCCTTTTTGCTGCATTAGTGCAAAGTGGTATTGCGTGTGTGTAGTCATCGCGACTTTATTCATTTCATGTTCCACTGGGCGGGCGTCTCAGCGGCTCGCGTGCCTCTAGTGCTGTCTGCGCGGCGTGGCTGGATGGAGTTGTGGGCGAATCGGGGGAGATCAGGGACGGGCGGTTGGCCGCGCGTTTCGAGTCGAACCATGTAAGTTCGCTGGAGCAAGTGGATCGAGACCGTGGACTGAAGCACGCCTGCGTGCGAAGGACTGCGAGCAAATAAGTTCTTCCGCTGCGAGACAATGAGTCATAAGTGATGAGTAAACCAAGCATGCCCGCTGCTGCCAGAGGCACAAGGCGTGGGAACGACTTCATCGACTTCAACGTCACGGAAGTAGGTGATCGGAGCCCACACCGATCGAAACAGATTGAGCCCGATACAAGCAGACTTAGCATCGGCTATCAGAAATAATGGCGTGCATTGCGTGCGGAAGGATTCAAAACAAGCCCAATAGTTACCGAAAACCATCGACTTCGTCAACGCTTAACATCATCGATCAGGAGGAAATGCTAGTTAAATCTGACTGATACACGGGAAGAAGCAGAAGCTGTCTGACATGGGGAGCAGAGTTGTCTGTCTAGACATTCGACTTACTGCAAGATTGCTCACGTGATTGGTCATCGTGAATGTGTGGAATCCTAAAGCAATAGGAACCGAATCCACTCCGAGAGGAAATGTGAGGTAACGCACTATGAAGAAGATAGTCCACTGCAAGCCAGATCGTACCCCGCAAGCCGGATGCGCTGCTGAAAACCGCAGACTTCGTCACCTTGAGTATATCCGGCCTGGAGGGAATGCAGACCAATTCTCACTGAAGACGGTAGAAAGCATACAATTTGTCGTGCAAGAAGTGAGGTCATGCGTGCAAGCAAGATTGCGTACGGTAAAAACAGTAACGCAGCAGTTCATCACGTGGAAGATTTATATGTCTCGAACAGTACATAGCGAACTTCTACAATATGGTGAATCAAAGATGCACAAGACCACAGAGGCTGAAGAACGAATGCAGGGTTGTTCGATAGTTGTCTGCAAGTAAACAATGAACAATTTTCAAGAGACGTTGACCATACCATGCAGAATGCTGGAAGAATCAGGAGCAGGCAGGACGGTTGTGTTCAACTTACAGAATGCTCTGCACCAGCTTCCAACAATACTGAGTCACGATGCTGAAGACGAACACAGCCGAAGCCAGACAGCTTCTCGTGATTAGTACGGAGCGCGCTGCTTCGAAAGCGCCTGACTCAAACTAAAACTTGGGATAACTAACATCAAGACAGAATGGCCGGCCCACGCCCTCGCCGCGCTCTCGCAAGCGGCGGGTCCGGCTGGACTGAAGCCTCGTCAGAGGCGAGGTCGGCGGAGCGGTCCAAGGCAGCGGCCGACGGCGGGCGCGTCGGACTGCAGCGGAGTGCCGCCCGCTCGCAGCCGGGAACTGCTGTCGCGACGCCCGGGCTCTTCGGACCACCTGCGCCCGGCCGGGCCCGTTCTGTGGCTCCCACGCGACACCGGGCGGCCGGCTGTCGGTGCCCCGAACGTCCGGCCTCTGTCCACAGGTGGTGAGACTCGGTGTTCTTTTCAGCAGCAGTTCCGCAGGTGGAGGAGCGGTGCGCCACCGGTCGGAGGTGGACAAGAGCGGCGGTAATTGGACTGACGCTTCGTGTACTGCGATCGGTTTCAGAACTGGCGGCTTCTACTGTTCGCGGTCTGCCGTCGTTCGTCAGTTCGCCATGGAAGCCAGTGGCCAGCTCCGGGCGGTCCTCACGGCCAGTACTGGTTCACAGGTCTCTGCCGCCCCTGGCGCGGGGCGCCGGCCGGCGCCTGAGCAGTCGCAGCGTGTTCTCCGTCTCAGCGGGTGGCGGGCGGGTTAACTCTGCCGTGTTTCAGGTCTGGAGTCACGCTCAGGTGAGTTGGGAGCCACAGACCCGGGCCGTGTCGCGCCATCCAGCCTCCGTTCGGCGTTGTCGTTTTAATACACTCTCCACAGCCGATCTCTGTTTGTGGTGGCGCACCGCCGTGGTCGGATGCGACGCGCGGCGAAATGGTTACGTGTGGACGGACGTGCTGGTTCGGCTAGCAAGGGCAGCCAACGTGGAGAAAGTCGAATGCTGACGTGTCACCAATGACACTTCCCGACTTAACGATGTAGCACAGCGCAAAGCAAGACTACGTATTTTAGCACCGACCCGGGTGGAATCACTTCTCTCGCCCGCCTTGAAGGTTTTTGCAGGATAATTTCCTTACGGCGCGCTGCAGCCGTGCCAAACTGCGCATAGCTGTAGGCGATTAGAATAGCGGACTCTTGGTATGCAACTTTAATGTACATTGTAACGTTGCCGACCTATGAGAGGTCGAGGCCAGGTCGTGGCCTTCAGCGAAGGCAAGACGTAGAGAATCGTTCAGCCTGAAACAACAGAGTGCTGGGAGAAGCCATACATCTCTGATAATTCCATCGACTTTAGGTCAGGTAGGAAGGTCAGATCGAGTTCTAAACCAACCCGCGTTTTACTATGGAGCTTGCTGCACGAAGTAGTTTCTGGCGCTTATTTCAAATTTGTTGATGATATGTAAAATACATCTTTCATGCACTTCTTAAAGGGCGGCGCAGGTCACGGACCTAAAATGGCTCAAGTCTTCATTTTGTTTTTAGGAGTTCACCGCTTAGCGTAACCTTGACGTCGATTCAAGCACAAAATCAAACCAATCTCGTGGGGTAGTCGCCAAGATCCAAAGGTAAGGTGAGAGGTGAAAAGCAAAGGCAAAGTAAAGGTAAAGTAAAGGTAGTGCAAAGTTTGACATTTGGACTTCTTTGACCCAAAGGTCATGACATAGGGGCCATAAATCTTGCCAAGTCAACGTACGGGTTACCCGACCCTGTGATTTGGTGTTTCTGGCTTTCTTAAGTCCTTAAGATCCCAAGGGGTTGAACTGACCCACACCTGGGCGAAGGATATTTAACCGGCTGCCCTCGCGAGTTAAAAGATCCGCGTGAGGGGGGCGAGAGGCCCAGAGCCCAGATAAAAATTGGGTTATCCTCTTCCTACAGCACTGGCAAAGGAGCATTGCAAATGACGTACTTTGAGCTGTTTGGATGAGTTATTGGGGAAAGTGCGTGTTGCGCTCTGAATAACCGGGTGGGAATGGACAGTGTTGGACGAGGCGATGTTCCAGACGGAGTATCCCCAGTTGACGAGTCGGGATTAACCCCACTTTAATCCCACCACAAATTTGGGATTTACATGGCGCGTCCCGACACATCAGTCAAGTAGTGGACACGGTTTTTACAGACAGGGAACACGGTTGTCATGTCCCGGAGCTAAAACAAAATAGCAGGCGATGTTTGGTCACCGCTGCGTGCCTTCCATTTGTTCTCGTCATAACAGCATAGGGTAGGACCTGACAATGGTGAAGGCTCTACGTCACTGAAGTGGGCGTTGGACACGCTGTACCATTGAAGACGTATGTTGCACTAGCTTGCTTCTCGTCCAAATCACACCAGTTTTGTCACCATCGTCCGGCAGAAGCAGTATATTTCAGCCAGTCATTAAACCCTTATCATCGGACATGGTGGGAAATAGGAGAACAAAGCCGTCTATTTCATAAATCTGAAACGGACCACATGGTTCCTACTCCTCACTACCGCCTTACAATACCGCACATCTCATATCTACACAAAACGAGCGGGGACGGGCGGCGGCGGCGGCAGCCGACCATCCGGCGTGCAGTCGCCGTCTCCGCTGCACCGGCGGCGGCCGACCATCCGGCCCGCAGTCGCCGCCGCCGCTACACCGGCGGCTCGGTCAGTCCGGCTCTACACGGGCCGTCACTCCGGCTCAGACGTCGTTGGCGTAGTCGGCCGGGTTCTTGCGCGAGAGCCGGGTGTGCTCGGCCTCACCCCACGTGTACAGCAGGTAGGCGGCCAGGAACGCTGCGGCACGGCGGGCACCACGTCAGGCTGGTGTAGCGGGACTGCCCACGCGTGACGGACGCGCGCAGGTCTGTATGCGCAGTCGGAAACACGTCGGTCCGACAGTGGTGTGGGACAATCACGTGATGGCAGGGCTCATCATGGCAGGCAAGGTCGACCGAGAGCTTCATAGACCGGACTTAGCGGGAAGCTTCTGTTTTTGGTTTTGCCTGCTAGCACCGTAAATATTTTAGCGGTTGGTTTGCCGACATGCAGGCTAAAAGACCCTGCCACTTTACTGTAGTGGTTACCCAAGTGCAAAGGACAAACTAGTTTACACAGTGAATGCACGTGGTTTTAAGATAGTTTGCGTGCAATGCCGTAAGATTAAAAGACTGACTATGAGGCATTGACGAACAGCTGCTGTTCCATATTGCAAAGGTCACATCCCGTTCTAATGACACAAACTATTTGGTTATCATACTCTTAAGACGGCCACAGTCACGCCGTTGAAGTCCTATCCGAGACAACAGTACGTTCCCAGCGGCTGATGCTGCCCAGCTGTCGTCTCCCCGGCCCTCGCCACCACTCACGGGGCGCCACGGTGAAGACGTTGCCGCGGATCCTCCTCAGCATGTTCAGCGGCGCCTTGCTGATACCGGCGAAGGCACGCTGCTCGAACGGCGACAGCCGGTACGAGACGACGCCACGCGATTTGTGCAGGTTCCCAAAACCCAGACCCATCTCGCCTGTAGACTGCTACCGTGCGGGACAACTGTGGGGAGAGTTAATACGCGTGAGTAGCGTAAACTATGTGCCTGGGATGATGCAAATGCAGGCTACATCTTTCAGAAATTTTCCCCACACTGATGTGCCACAGGATTACATGCTTGCAATGCTTTGTTTGAATTGCTTCAATCTATTGGCAAAGACAGTCGCTTCATGTCATTACAGCAGGAGTTACAAGTACCCCTGCTGCAACCTGTACCACACTGCAAGCAGAGTTGTTCTTGTGTGATGTAACTGTCTATGACCCAGACTGCAAAAAAACATGGCAACAATTTGGGGGCAACCACCCCATAAACCTCGGCACTTTGAGTTTCGTGCACTGTTTTCATGCTCAAACCAGTGCTTAATCTCACTGAGACACCAGTCTTTGTCAATGTGCAAATAAATAGCTAAATAGCACAGCCTGAGTCATTCTTTTTCTTCAAAATTTTGCTGTAATAATTGGCACATCACAGCAAGATAAATGCACAGCCACCATGGAAACATTGTAATTGGGGTGCCCAAAAGCCCAAACATCCCCAGCAAGATAAATACAGCAGTTTTTATACATATTATTGTAGTACCACTTTAGCTCTGAGCATTGGATGCACTGAAAATACCTTTAACAGTGGGGTAAATTAACCTTACATTCCAATTGAGATGGTCCAAGGGCCTATCATCTTCAGTTCTGGAACCCTATGGAAGCAAATACTTCTGCAGGATGAGGTCTGGAGATGTGTGGTGTTTCCCTTCTCCCAACCCAGTGCAGTATGTAGGTGATGGTGTTACAGATCATTATTCAAATTTCACAGTGATTTTTGCAAGCAAACTTTGTGGTGTTTACCTTGTTTCCATATCTTTCTCTCCATAAGCCTCAGGACCACGCTTCATTTAAACCAATAAGCTTCAGGACCATGCTTCATTTAAACCAATCATGAACCAAGGGGCAATGTAGGCCCAGGTAGTTATTTTGCCTGGTCCAATTACGTGCCTTCACACCCAAGGTCTAATTACTTTGAGTAACAAACCGGGATGTCTTCCACCCCATTATCGCTCTTTTGACAAATCAGTTACTTCATGTAATTACTTCAGGGGTCACAAGTACACAGGCTGCAAGTTGTACTACACTGTAAACAGAGTTGTTCTTGTGTGATGTAACTGCCTATGACCCAGACTGCCAAAAGAACCATGGCAAAAATTTCAGGGCATTCACACCATACATCTGAGCACAGATAAGACAGTCATATTAGCTTTATTTCTTGGGGAAAACCAGGAGAATTGAGATGTAGTTGAGTTGATATTTCAGCAACATGCCTTTATTGAAACAATAGCAGAAGATACATGCATGTTACCAAAATATCAACCCAACTATATCCCCATTCTCCTGTTTTTTTCCCAGGCATAATGCCAACACTACTGTCCAATCTTTATGAATAATGTTCCTTGCTAATGCACCAAACAACTAATGTAAATTGGGGCACTTTGAGTCTCATCTACAAACACTGCTATAAGCAGTGCATTAACAGCAAATTGTCAAGGAACCATGTTGTAAATGTATTTCCAAGTAAAAATGCCCCAGTATGTTTTTCAAGCAGACATTATTTGCAAACTTTGCATAACTAGGTAAATTAATTTCATATATCTGTGGCATGCTTAGTGCACTTCTGCCATGCAGATTTATGAACAGTGGATGGACTTTTAGCAGGCTGGTCTATGGTACCATCAGCAAACACATCATGAAATAGCTGAAGAACAGCAATAGTTAGGGGTGCCGGTAGTGTGGTGGTTAACACATCTGGGTTAACCGCTGCACGTCTGGGAAACCAGAGGTACAGGGTTTGATTCCCTGTGGTGCCCGCCCTCCTGCCAGGGTGGGAGGCAGTCAATGCCACATAGCCTCAGCAGCTGAGTGCGTTGCTAAGCCCCAATGACACACACAACAGTGATAGATAACAAGCAAGCCTATAAATATTTTAGGGCAGCAAAAGCACTCAATGAAAAAGACATCATTTCCTGCATGAGCCAGGCATAGCAGCGACATCTCCACAACAATGTCAGCACATGTTCATCATAAATCTGAGTGCCCGGTGTAGGTACACATTGCAACCTAATGTTAGAAAAAATCAGTGTACACCATTCATTGTGTTTAAGGTGGAACATATCATAAATAATCTTAAAACAGGTAGATTCATGCTCCTACCTTCAAATTTTAATATTTACGATAGCGAACTCCCGAGCGCCGCACCCACCCCCATCGCCTCCACTCCCCAGTGCCATTTCTGTGTTGCTGTTGTGTAATTACAATATTACTGCTTATCAAGAACCATAAAAAATGCATGGGACCAAGGTAACAATAATGCAATGAAAAAACGTTTTTTATCTCAGTCTAGGTACATTAATGAAACAGACAGGCCAGAATAGTCCTAACCTAACCTAACCTAACCTAACCTAACCTAACCTAACCTAACCTAACCTAACCTAACCTAACCTAACCTAACCTAACCTAACCTAACCTAACCTAACCTAACCTAACCTAACCTAACCTAACCTAACCTAACCTAACCTAACCTAACCTAGCCTAACACCCACCCTATCCCCTTCAACCCAGTGTCCCATTGGCATCAATGTTCCATGCCATATATATGCACTGTATTAAGAAGTTTTGTTTAGCCACCATATTCTCATTTTGCTTTTCATTCCCAAGCAAAAACATCATATTTCCCCACCATGTTGACCAATCTACAAACAATATAGAAGAATGCTTGGATATGCACAGAACACATTTTATTGAATTCTTGTTACTATAGCCTCATACATTTTTATGGTTCTTGATGCGCAGTAATGTTGTGATCACACAGTAATGTTGTGATCACGCTTAGAAATGGTGCCAGGGTCGTGGTTACTGAGTGTTTGTGCTCAGATGTTTGCTATCATAGTCATTTAAGTTCCAAGGTAAGAGTTTAGATGACCTGCTTTTATGATTAATTACCATATGTTCTGCCCTAAAAATGATAATTGATGTATAATGCTCTTTCTTAACATCAGGTAGCAATGTATACCCTGACCTGTTGCTGAGATACATTTAGACAAGCACAATATGAAAACATCTCTTCCACACCAGCACTGTGAAAATATAGCAAAATCTAGCCTTGCCTGAGTTAGGTCATTACAGGCTCATGGTCAAGCACACATGACATACCAAATCATGAGCTTTGGTACCCTGAATGAATTTTATGCACCATTGGCAGAAGTGAGTCTGTGTAAAATTAGGCAGTGAAATCATACTCAAATCGTCACCACAATTTCTGCTGTGACACATCATTTTAGAGCCCAGGGTCACATCGACTTTCTGATTTCTGGATTACATGCCTGGCAACAGCTTCGCACGTTACGTAAGGACAATGGGAAGCAAACCGTAAAATATTAAATCAGATGATGGTAAGTTAATATATTACAAAACGACGCCCTGGTGACATACCAATCATTGAGTAAACGGCATACAGGGGAACAAAGGAATTACACACAGCACGCCCGACCGCCCACCCTTACCCCACGATGAATTCTGACAAGAAGAGGTCCGTTTCGTCCGTTTTGTCGCTTACCGTCCATACGAAGAAACCAGGGTATTGGTAACAATCACGTTATAAATGTCGCATTCTTAGCTACCAAACGAAAAAGCACCATGCCGAGGAAGCTCTCTGCTTAATACAAAGATCTTCTGTTATATTCCAATTGATGAGTTTAATATCAAAATTTGGCTTTGAGTTAAGAAAAAACATTTTAAAAGCTAGATAAAACCCATGTTTATCTCAGGTATATCTCGTTTTCGGAAAAAAATGTCATTTTTGTTGCATTGCATGTTTTCCTTTTTTGTCATTCGACACGTTTTCCTCAATTTCCTTCAAGTGTGTTGGAGGTTTGCTACGCAACTTTGGCTCAGGACCAGCGACCGGTCGACTCATCGAAGGGTCAGCAGGGCCCGGGCCCCGGTTTCGATATATCTGCATGGGTCGTCCTCGCAGTGGTTTGTATAGCATCTACATGCAACTAAAAAATTATATTATGCACGTCGAAGCAGTTTCGTGACAATGATCTGTTGAACAGGTACCTGCAATGTCAAAATCACACTTGGAGTGTTACTGGGGTCTGGTTTGTTTTTATGACATTTTTATAGAGTAAATGCGAAATAAGTTCGTACTTGATCAGAATTTGCTGCTTTCTGGAGCCCAACTACCTCAGCGGGGGTCATGCCCAAGGCTAAAAACGTGCCATAATCACGGAGGGCCCTGCCAGTTAGGTAGGTAACAGTAAGAGATCAGTGGGCATTCATTCCAACCAGATTTGATTGAATCTACCTTCCATTTTTGCATTTGATTGATCATTATGGTTAAGTTGGTATTATTTGATATGCTGTTCTCATAGTACACTTTTTTTTGCTCATCTCACTGACAAAAGCAGTGCATCAAATGTTTCGTGTAATTCATCCTAACTGCTGCCAGTTATGGATTTTTATGACACCTCTTGGTAGCTCTGAGCTGTGGGTATATAATGAATTTGCAGGGAAAAATAAACAGCCCAATGTTTTGTCATTGTCAAAAGATCTGCAGTGTCCTGTCATGTTCAAGTTCAAATGCAATTTTTGCCCAGTTTCTGTGTTGTTTCCTTGTGAGTTTCCATACTCAGTCCACTTTTTAATACTTAACCAGGTTTTCTCACCTCAACTTGGTTGGGCTACCTGTCTGATAGGCTGAGGATTATATTTGGTTATGAAGTGGAGGATCCCAGAAAGATTGGCATACTCTGTGGCCTCATTACAAAAACATATGTGAGGGTCCAAAAAGCCAAGGCTCAAATAGTTGCCTCTGCATGAGCGTACTGGAGAAAACAACGTTTTCTGGTTATGGGTGCACCAATTTTATAATCAAAGAGGGAGTTAAGCAGCTGGTTATCAGTCAGAAATAGTGCATATTTTTGTTGGTTGTTGATTTTGTTGACAGGATCACACATGTGGAGAAGAAAAAACTATAGGCTGTATAGGGCACATATGGAGTGTGTTTTATGCTGGGGAAAGGAGCAATCAAATCAGACCTGAGGTAGGGCAGTCACTCCTGAAAACAAAGAATGTTGGCTCCTAGTGTCATTGGATGAGAAGACTTGAAGGATGGCAGATATGAAATGACATGAGGACAGGCTCAAGCAAGCTATTTGACTCAGGATCACATCAGTGACTGAAGAATCTCTTTTTTGCCTCTGTCTGAGACATCTTATAGAAGAGTTAAAGGTGATGGCCTATTGTTTATGAGCCCACAGAAGACCAAAAAGGAGATCATCTGGATGAATGGTGCTTTTCCTGTCAAATTTTTTGTTGTACTGAATAAGATCAGCTCTTAGAACTGTCCCCTGCACTGAATCATTAAGGACCACAGGTCAGAACCAAAATTCAAGGTCTTCCAGGCCCTCTTCTTGGCCCATATTCACGGACCTTTAAAAAATGGATGTCCTGATGATAACCAATGTTCCAGATACAACAGAAATACTAAATAACTGGTTAAATGTCTGACGGAGAGGTGTATCATTAACTGATATGTAACATGAGCTGTATCATGAACTCACATGAGCAACAAATGGTGGATTTCAGAGGTTTTAGGCAAGATCATCAGCTTGGTGTGCTGTTGTCTGTATATGGTCATGAAACTTGAGGCTGCCATCAATTGTGATACCTAGGTTAGACTGGGTTCTTGTTGCACTGGTTAAATGTGCCCTGTTGTGCTGAAATGTGTGCCCTGAATTTGTTGAATGTTGTCTTTGCCATGCTATCACTGTATTCACAAGAGCTTAGCTATAGCATTGATTTACCCTTTCTTTGGACAATACTGTCTTCGGTTTGGAATGCCCAAAGCCTTTATGCACCCAGATCAATTTAGTGTGCATAGCTGCAAAACTCAAGACTCAAAGTCTTAATGCACCCAAATAAATATAGTGTGGATAGCTGTAAAACCCCCATCTATACTCAGAAGAAGCTTTGCTTTATTAAGCAAAATCTTACTGCACTTCAATCTGCATTTAGGTAGTGATACTGAGTTTCAACCAGTTGAGAACTGCAGTATTGAGGCTGCTGTGGTGACAGCCAACTGATATTGCAAATGTCTGTGCGTGACCAAATATTCACCGCATGACAACATTTCAGAGCAGTAGTGGTTGAAATCTTGCACATCGACACAAGTTGCAAGGTGGAAGATGGATCCTGGCTATGATGGCTATGGACAGTATGGCCACCAAAACAGCCATGGACAGTATGGTGATCCAGGAGGGATGCCCAATCAGGGGCAGTATGGTCAGAACCAGGGACAATATGGTCAGAACCAGGGACAATATGGCCAGAGTCAGGGACAGTACAGTCAGTATGGAGGCTATGCTGGTAAGAATACTTGTTGTCTGAACTGATTACCATAACCTCTGATTACTGAAATGTTGTGATATGTGATGCAGGGCTGGCTATGCCATCATATTTTTATCCATGAAATCTTGTTTTGCTGAATTGTGGGTTTATTTTTGAATTATGAACCTAGCAGCTCATTTTGCACTGGCACATGGTGATGCTTGTAGCCAGAAAGTTGGAATTAAAATTCACTGAAGGTGCGTTTGAAGAGGCAAAGCAGTCATATCGCTGTCACATGACAAACAACAACTTCTGAAGCGTGCTCACCAGCTGCCGTGACGGCGTCTCGCCAGGCTACCCGCCGCAGCAGTCACCAGTATGCTGGTTATGGGTACGAGCCGCCGCCGTCTGCACGGCCGCAGCAGCAGCAGCAGCGCGCGCCACCGGCCAGTCCGTACGGCCAGCCCTTCCCCGGCGCCGACGTGCTGCAGAACCCGATGATGCAGGACATGGCCATGCAGTACGGCCAGAACGTGCTGGGCCAGGGCCGCCAGGCGGTGGAGCGGAGCATGGAGAAGTACATGTCGATCTCGCGGCTGAAGTACTACTTCGCGGTGGACACGGCCTACGTGAGCCGCAAGCTGCGGCTCCTCTTCCTGCCCTTCACCAACTCGGTGAGAGCGGCGTCGCGCTCCCGGGCGGACGTGAACGCGGCCAGTGCACGCCGGGTGTCGATCAGTGGGAGAGTGTGGCTGGCGCGGCGGCAGGCTGGCCTCTGGCTGTGCTGGGGGTCAGGTCCGTCACGGTCGGCTGCAACCGCGTGTCTGGGGCTGGTTAGACGTCAGCGGTGCGGCGGTTGCACGTGGCAGCCTTGCTTTGGCATTGAGATGGGTGTGGATGTGTGAAGGACAATGTCATGCCTCATAGCCTCCTGGTCCGTCTCGTACTTGAGCGCACTACGTTTCATCATTGTCGCTGTGCTGCGCAGCTGCTGCAGCTCACATGCTTGATGTGTACCCGGCCCATTGCGACGCTATGTCACACATTCCTATACAGTCGGCCAATTTCGGCGCGACGCGAGTCAAATCGCGCTCTGCGGGCACCGGCTGCTGTTCAGCGTGTCTGGAGTCGGTGTCTGCTCCCCCCTCCCCCCTGTCGGGGCTCACACATAGCCACCTGTGTCCCCCCGCCGTATGTTTGTGTGTGTGCACACGTGCGTGCGTGCGTGCGTGCGTGCGTGCGTGCGTGCGTGTGTACGCCTGTCCGGCCGTTGGCGTGACCCGTGCGCTGCCGGTGGACAGGACTGGTCGGTGCGGTACAGCTCGGAGGAGCCCATCCAGCCGCGGCACGAAGTCAACGCCCCCGACCTCTACATCCCCAGCATGGCATTCATCACCTACATCTTGGTGGCTGGCTTCCTGCTCGGCAAGCAGCAGAGGTGAGTGCGGCGGAGCGCGCGCCCTTGTGAGCGACAAGCTCCGAGCCCTAAGTTCGCTCCGATGGCTGCTAGCGGTGTCGATACTCACAGGTTGCCCCCCCCCCCCCCCACCCTCCCTGCTGACGCCGGTGTCTGCTGCTGCGGCAGGTTCAGCCCCGAGGCGCTAGGCATGCAGGCCAGCTCAGCCACCGCCTGGCTGGTGTTCGAAGTTGTGGTCGTGCTATTCACAATGTACGTCATGAACACACAGACCAACCTGCGCACCTTCGATATCATCGCCTTCTCCGGATACAAGTTCGTGGGGTGAGTTTCGACCGGGCGTCACGCCCGCGTGGAATGGCTGTATGCTTTTGACTTACTCAACCCATTCAACCTCATCCCACTCAACGACCTGCGAATAATTTTCTCGGCATCCTGCACGCATCGAGTGTTATCGTTTGTAAGGTGTTTGTTTGCATCTCAGATGTTTTTTTCAGCTATCTGTATTTTTAAAGGTACCTTTCTACACCATTAAAAGTCGCTATTGGGTCAAGACATTTTGGTGTAGCATGATGTAAACATGCGCATGTGTAACTGCAGGTCTAGTCTTCATATGCAACCGTCGTGCATTCGTGTTTGCATAGGCATTCACCCAACTATTGATTCCTTGTATCTCAGCAGGCCAGGCGTGTGCAACGGAAGTGAATGCTAGGAAGCTCTTGCCTGTCACTGTTTGATTCCGAAGAGGCCCTCACTGCACTCTATGGCCGTTTTCATTGGCGCGACCTTTGCACTTGGCCAATTTCTCGTATGTTTTCTCATGCGTGACAGATCAATTAGCTAACCTCAGTTCATTTTTCAGGATGATAATTACTTTGCTGTCCAGTCTGTTTTTGGACAGGACTGGGTACTACTGCGTGCTGCTCTACTGTAGCGCCATGTGCGCATTGTTTTTGGTAAGTTAAACATTTCCAAAGTATTTCTTGTCATGCGATTTGCATGCCTTAGTCAAGTTTGTCCTCAGTATCTTTGTTTACATCCTTTTGTCCTAGATACTTAAAAGACTTGGGCATTGGCCTTTTTTGTAGTTTGCCATTTTCCGTATTTTCAGGGGTTGTTCACGTTTTTAGTCGACGTTGGGCGAAGCTGCAAATATCTTTACGGCGGATGACATACGACATTGCACGCACCCCTAATATGCTTGTTTTCAGGTGCCACAATGTCATAAAAAATGTCACGGCAGCGTCATCATAAACCAGTTACCTCTCGCCGCCCTGGGGGCGCCGAGCCGTACTCCAGCTTCTCCGACTGCCCGGCAGGTGCGAACGCTGAAGGTGCAGCTGCAACCGATGCAGGAGGACCTGCAGGGCGGCAGCGGCGTCAAGCGGCGGCTGTACCTGCTGCTGCTCATCTCGGCCGCCCAGCCAATCATGATGTACTGGCTCACCACACACCTCGTCTTCTTCGCTCCGCCGCTGCCCGCCTTCGACCCGCTGCCGCCCAGCGCCCTCTGATCGCCAGCCGGTGCCCTCTGATCGCCACCCGGCGCCATCTGACCGCCGCCCGGCGCCCGCTGGTCGCCGCCCGGCGCCCGTCTGGTCGCCGCCCGGTGCCCTCTCGTCGCCGTCCGTCTCACGGACCGCGTGAGATGAGACCGGTGGCTGCTGTCCGCCGACCTGGGCTGGCGGTCCGGCTGGAGTGCGGCGGTTCTGGGCCGTGGCCGCTCTGCTGGCGGCGGCCAGCCATCGACGACGGGCGGGAGTCGCCAGTGCGCTGTGATTGTACCCGGTGCAGTGAGCTTTGCGTCGTTAACCCTTCTGAGCGAGGTCGTCGTGTCGGTGTCTACTGCCGGGACCCGTCTTGGTGGGCGTGGATCCCGCGACATTACGGTCCTGTCGGGGCCGACTCGTGTCGGCTGCAGACGACCCTCCGGCGACCGTGGTACGGGTGGATCGTGGCAGACAGTCAGTTGGCCGGCCGCCTCCCCAGGCCGAGACGAAATAACACGGCGCCTGTGCGGTTTTAGCCCCAGCTGGCTATGCCATCGGGCCGGTAGGTGCTTGGTCGTTTCGATTCTTACGTGCGGACGGCTGCCCGTCATCTGTCGATACAGAAATCATGCCGAAGATAGGTCTAGTTTCTGGCGAAGCTTAAGCTGGGGGCATGCATGTTGTTCTGCCAGTTTCCTTTCGGCCAGGCTCGAAATTATTGCTCAGAATGGGACCATCGGCTGCACGTTTATGAACATCGTCAAATCACGAATGCATATTTTTTGGTGGCCCACCGGCATACAGGTTTTATATGGTGGTGTCCTTGTGCCTCCTTGGTGGTGGGCACCCTAGTCTTGAAACACGTTCACTCATCCATTTCCTGCCGAAACGAAACGCGTGATTTCTGCGCTCGCTGTTACGCAGTTGGGTGGGTTTGCGCACGTCGCTTCCTATCGACCGAAGCCGTCGTTCGTTTGTGAAGTCCGCCATCCGTGTCGGCCCTGCGGCCGCGCGGGCCGGTCCGTGTCGGCATCCTTCCGCCTGCCAGGTCACGGCTGCGATCGTATGTGACGACGAGAGGTCAGCCGGTACCATCGCTCGAACACCCACACCCCGTCCGGACGGGCAGATCACAGGCCTCGTCGGCTGGCAGGTTATGCATTATCAGCTGCCTCACCTGATCAACACCAAATGGAGTGTGGTCGACGCCCAGTGGCGCCGGGGCCGCGTGGGGTGTCCCGTACGGTGCTGCCAGATAATCCTTGTGGGGCTCTGAGCGGATAGTGTGCAACGCGTCAGCCAAATCCGGTGTTTGTATTGACTATGGGCGTTGCAGAGCCCATGCGAAACTCGTCGGCCGGTGTTGACCTGGCGCATGCGGCGCGCACGCGTCGAGGTCGGTCGGCGCGGTGCTGCCACCTGTCGGCCCAAGGCTCTCCTGACGGATGATATATCGTGGTGCTGGGTCGAGGCGCAGGGATAAAGCGATCTTCGCACGACAACGTGCGCCATCTCGCTGGGCGGGTTCCCCGCAGCCTGACTGACTGAGTATGATATTTCGGGGAGTTATTGAATAGTCGAATGCGTCGTTGGATCCGCGCTGTATTCTATCGGTGGCAGCGGTTCGCTTGCGTAGGAGTCTGGTGTAGTGTTGAGTTGCCGTGACTAGCGCGTGCTGTGTCATATCTGCTGAGCCAAGTTCAGAGTGATCTTGGTGAAATTGTGATCGTTGTACTGCTGGTCTGGCCTTGTTTAATAAGATAATGAGACTTCAAGGTTATTTGGCTGTCTCATTGGACAGAAAGTTTCGCGGGCTGATTGCTAGAGGTCTTCTGGCCGTCCAATGTCATATCTAAGTGAGTCCTGCACCGTGGAAGTCCCTCTCCCACGCCTTGGGCTTGGACAAAGTGTCTTGCAGGGAACTAGAGTCAAGAATTACGGAATGTTGCCGGCAGTCGCGTTTTGCGGAATGTCATGGTGTCATGGAATGCTTTCAACTTGCCATGTCCCTGTGAGACCACTGCGCCGGACTCCCCCGACGATGGGTGAGCATCGCCCTTTTGTGGTGGGACGTACGATACCAGACAAAAATGATTGGATGATCTGAAAGCAACGAACCACCGTCAATGCTTCTCATTACTACTTCAGACTGCATCGTCCCAACCTGCCATGCGACGTCCGCACATTCTTTGTCACTGTCTTCAAGGCAGGGATCTGCAGTAATGTATTAATGGTTCAAAAACGGTGGTCCGAGGATGGATTATCTATGTATCTATGTATGAGTTGTTTTGCTATGCGAGTGCTGGCACGGTGAATGCAGGGGAAGACACCCAAATCATGATTGTACTGGGAAAGGGCGTCAATTCTGCACGTCTGGTGGCACCATCTCAGTAACTCAGCAAGAACAATTTGATAATGGTGAACTAGATCACCCGCAGTTTGCGGCTAGGGTGGCTGGCGTGCGTTTCGAAATATGAATCGACGCGATGTGTTAGAGGTGTGGAAATGATTTGTATTCTCAGCAAATTTGTGATAGACGAGCTGAATCGTGAATTGGCTCACGAACCGACCATTTTGGCATGAACCTGTGAGCTAAGTCTGCTCGTCAGGAGAAACGCCGCTTTGAGCCGTGGACTGAACCACTTTCTTCGCAAATTTCATGAGCTCAAGCGCGATCTGGTGTTTTCTTATATTGCATCAGCAAGCCATGTGTCTCAACTTAAAATGGTAACATGAGGGAACACGGGATGTTGGAGAACATTTACGGACAATTTCAAAGTGTTAAAATGAGCAGCGTGCAGCATTAGTCATAGAGCTTATTGCGAAAGCAGCACTAAGGGCCGGATTAGAAACGTCGGTCGGGTGCGAACCGCGCCGATTGATTTGGTTTCTTCTATAAACGTTGTTTTTTATGCTGACTGAAAAAGCTAAGCAGCCCGTGAGGTGTCTCGGTGCGATTGAAAATTGGCGTACAAAACTTGGCAGTCATTCTCTGTTGGCTGCGTGAATGCAGAACATCAAGAGAACTTCAGTATGGCGAAACTTTTGCGTTGACCGCGTTTCGATGAATACATGTTAGAGTCGCGCTTGCCTTGGGGAACACTCGCGTGAAAAGCTACACCATATGTGATACCTATCATACCGCTTTCTACACCCCATAGTCGATTCTCGCAAGTAACAACAGCGGCTGCAAACAGCTGCTGAGCAATGTAAACTGCTTTCGGACATATTTAAAGGGAGAATGCACACAGACATCAGATATCCAAGGTCTTTTCCTTTCCCTTTATCCAAGGGCAAGGTCTTTTGCGGTCCCTGTGATCAAGAAATTCGAAATGAGCATCAGAAACTATGCCATAATGCAAGCTCTGAAGTAAAAAACGCTCTTGTTCTGACCTTGGTCTGACCTTGACTTCTGACCCCAGGTCGATAAAATTTGTTGTTATCCAAAATTCAATTGCTGTATTGTCTGAAAGCTATCTCAGAGATGCCTGGCTTCGTCTAACACTCAGCTGGCGCATCAGATTGAACGATTCCCTAGAAGCCGTCTGCGCTGACAGTCACAGTCTGACTGATCGGCTATAGGCCAGCGATCTCACAGGGTACATATGACTTTTGTCTACCAAAAGATCTGCTATTCAAATGCCGACAGCCAGGCAAAGGTTGGCGCGACCACACCATGCCGTTCTTAATGTATTTGATAAAAACCGTTGAAGGGTCAAACTGACCCCACCTGAGCGTGTCTTAAAACTCGCCAGCGACAATTGCATTTTCGACTTTCTTGGAGCATCAGATGTGATCGCGTGCTTGGCATATTTCCGTTCATGCTAACAACCAGTCGAAAAACCTGTCAGTGTTTTTCGTGATATGTGCATTGCGAACGAACCTTTTTATGTATCTACAGACAATGCAAGGCAATTTTAATAGCTTGCCTTCCAGCCATTCAAAAGAAAAAGGCGACCACACACAATGGCTGTTATAGTTCTGGGATATTAGCACAATGTTAGGGCATTCGCCTGCTCTGGAGCCGAGTGCAGGCGATCTGATCCACGCCGCGGAGTGATCCGTCTCGAGATAGCATGACGAGGAATCCGAGGAGTGTGTCTGGCATGATGCTGGATGCGAGGAGGGTGCCTGGAATAACGTTGGATCCGAGGATGACACCTCGAATAACGCTGGATCCGAGGAGGGTGCCTGGCTCGACGCTGGATCCGAGGAGGGTGCCTGGAATAACGCTGGATCCGGGGAGGGTGCCTGGAATAACGCTGGATCCGAGGAGGGTGCCTGGAGTAACGCTGGATCCGAGGAGGGTGCCTGGAATAACGCTGGATCCGAGGAGGGTGCCTGGAATAACGCTGGATCCGAGGAGGGTACCTGGAATAACGCTGGATCCGGGGAGGGTGCCTGGAATAACGCTGGATCCGAGGAGGGTGCCTGGAATAACGCTGGATCCGAGGAGGGTGCCTGGAATAACGCTGGATCCGAGGAGGGTACCTGGAATAACGCTGGATCCGGGGATGGTGCCTGGAATAACGCTGGATCCGAGGAGGGTGCCTGGAATAACGCTGGATCCGAGGAGGGTGCTGCAAGCATCAGTGGTGCCGTCGCGATGTGAATCGGCGTTATCCACATATGCACATCTGTGCGGTGCATTATGGTAATCTTGGTACCCAACTTGGAGGTAACCACCAATATATATATATATATATATATATATATATATATATATATATATATATATATATATATATATATATGTGTGTGTGTGTGTGTGTGTGTGTGTGTGTGTGTGTGTGTGTTTGATTAAAAATAACTGCTGACTCAACATTGACGAGCTTTTTGATGCATCGTTCTGGTTTCCGGGCCTTTGACTTTGCGTCATCGCTTAGATTAAAGATGTTTCGCACAAAATTACTCATATATTCATCACTCCTTCCATTCTAACGTTTCGAGATCTTATGTCATCTTCGGAGAAGACTAAATTGCACAAGAAACAAGTTTTGAGTTTGCTGGATGAAAAATTGTGCACTACTGTTGGAAAAGATCTTTTGGTACGGAGTTTTTTATGCACGTGCTCGGGCATACATCGAGATATATATATATATATATATATATATATATATATATACATTGCATACATTGATATATATATATATATATATATATATATATATATATATATATATATATATATATATATATATATATATATACGCACGTGCATCTTTTATGCTTGCAATTTTTCATCCTTTGAACTCAAAGCTTGTTTCTTGTGCAATTTAGTCTTCTCCGAAGATGAGATAAGATCTCGAAACGTTACAATGGAGGGAGTGATGAATATATGAGTAATTTTGTGCGAACCATCTTTAATCTAAGCGATGACGCAATGTCAAAGGCCCGAAAACTAGAACGATGCATCAAAAAGCTCGTCAATGCTGAGCCAACAGTTATTTTTAATCAAACATGTATCAAAGAAAGAATTCTGCCAAAATATTCCAATATGTATATATATATATATATATATATATATATATATATATATATATATATATATATATATGTATATACATACAGGTGCTATAATTCTACTCGTGTTTCGATGACAACTATAGAACCATTTGTCGGGCTCACTCCTCGCACATACGATAAAGGTTTGCATGGTTTGGTGTGTCGATGTGATCTCCATTGCCGCTTCCAAACCGCTGCTGCAAACGAAAATCCACGGTAGGATAGGGGTGGTGCGACATAAACAGGAGATGGTGAGTCAAATCTGTGAGTCACACAGCAGACCGTGAAGAAACTGGTTTCTGACCTAGGTTCGATCGCGCCATGTCCAGTCCGTGATGCAGGGCACCCGAAGCTGTTCAACGGGAAGTGACGACATCTGAATCGAGCGCACACGTACAGGTTACATGATTTATAATAGATAGCTTGAAGGTAGACCTTGCGCACCTCATTTTTCGTACTGAAAGATGCCCATGGTGAAAAAGGTGCAATTCGTTGTTCTGAATGCGAGATGAGTCCATAAACCACCGTTCCGCATAACTTTAGGATGAGGCAAGACTGAGACAAGACAAGACAAGACAAGACACCTGATATGGCACAGTTCCTGCGTGCAGAAGAACTAATGCTGGTAGTATGCACCTCGGACTCATGACACTTCAGACCATCGAGCATATCGGAACTATGCGCTGAGCATTCGCTGACCGAGGCTCCCGTTCGTTACCATAGATCCGTCCGTACCGGGGGAGGGGGAAGTTCTCTCCACCTGTCCAAAACCGGGGCCACCGGCGGCGCGTTGGAGCCCTGTAACGGCCACCGTCGGCGATCCAATCAGCACTGGCCAAAACCGCCGAGAATTCGCGGGAAACCTGAGAACGGCCGAATCGCATCAGCGAACGCCGATACGATCTGCGTGCGCGCCGAGCCGGGTTCCGTGCGACTGTGCGTGACCTTCCAGTGGCGGCCACGGCCGGTGACAGGCAGCTCGCGGTCATTAATCAGACATTGGTGCCCCCTGACTGTCAGCCGGTGACAGTGATTGAATTTTATCAGGCCGATCGACCGCCGATGGTAATTGCTTGTGTTCTGGTGTCATTTATCGTGGCGCGGCGAGGCGCCGCCGGCGCGCGCGGTTTGAAAAGTCCTGTACATGACGTTATAATTCGGGAAGCTGAGGAGGCGGTCGTCGTCTGCTGCCGCCTGCAGGTAGTCTGTGCGGGCCTCGGATACGACTATGATGGATTGGACGCTGCTGCTATCGCCGTTCAGTGCAATGGGCGCTGGTCTCGTCTTATGATTATAATTGCGGGCATGATTGAGCGTTTTGCACGTAAGCCGGCTGAGAGCGGAGACCGAGCTCAGCGCAGGCTGTTATGGAATGCTCGACGACCCCGACGCTCGAACGGCCAAATGAAAAACCAGTTGGCTGAAGTCGCCAAGCTCAAAATCTTGTGCCAAATGGTGACGATTATTGTTTGGGCATGACCTTGTTGATTTTATCTTACTATTAGATGCTGAAGCAAATGCGATGTGGTGAAATGGTTGAATAATTTAACTTCGAACGCGGGTGTTACGATGCAAGACCCGATCCTGCCCAAGCCATGCCTTCAAATAAGTGCTCTTGTGCGGTGCGCAAAGCCAATGAGTTGTCTGCTCAGTCAACCGGAATGTGCCGTGGGTGGTAGGGAGCTGTGGCATAGGCAGTGCATAAACCACTCAACCCGCCAAATCCTGTTTTTTTAAAGCTATCATCGGTTAGGCAGCGACCGGGTGGTGCTTGTTGAACAACCATCATGACACTGGCATCGCATTGGTGACTCGTCGGCATAAAGCCGCACAGGAATTTCGAACAAGCGTCTGCTAACCGCAACACACCTTACCACCGCGTTTCTTTCAGTCGGTTTATGTAAGCGATTGTTCCAAGCAGTGACCACAAGTGACTGCCAATTGTCGTGAGCCAAAGGAAGCAAAACGATGAGATGCGAGGTAAGCTCTGCACATGGACCTTACAGGAAATTGTGTTGCACCTGAAGAGCAGTCCTGCTAATTGCCTGCTTATAAGCATCCCAAGTAGGTCGGAGTATCCGGGGCGCCGCCGGATGGTGCGGCCGGTTGCGTCAGCGCCGCCGCCGCCCCACCCAAGGCCAGCGAGGACGGCAGACGGACCGGCGGACCACACAGCCGGTGCTGATCGGTCCCCGTTCACCGGTGACCCGGCTGGGCAGGCTATCATTAGCACCCCCGAGCCG